GTTCGCGAATACAATTAACAATTTCGGTGGTCGCGGCGTATAAGTACAAGTACAAGTTAGTCGCTGTTATTGACTCGCGCTTGGTTCTCACTAAGTACAAAATGTGCAATTCGCGTTGTATTACAAGTCCGTTAAATATTTCAAGTCGCTGTTACACTGATTTGATTATTCGCGCGCACAGAGCTTCACCTTACTCGACTCTTTAGGATGATCTGCCCCGAGGCCTAATTTTTATGCACGTTATATACTAATTAAATCATGGACCTTTTGGCGGGGGTACGTCTTGGGTTTTTCCCGCAAGTCGCAAGTCTACCAGCTATTTCGTCACTTGTTGACTCGGTTTCCGCTAGACCAGTGTGCCCAATGGTTATCTGAGGTCAAAGGTCAAACTTGGGGGAGATATGGGACTTGCGAGCGCGCGTGCGAACCTGCTTCTCCCCTTTGTGCCAATTCAAATTATTCCACGAGTCTCGTCTCGCATGTGTGTGTTATGTCTTCTTTGTGTTCGACTTACACACACACGCGAGTACACATACACGGAATATATACGCGTGCGAAGGCTTGATCTAATGCGTCGGTAATGTTGCTCGCGCACGTCCGTACATACCTTCAGCCTTTGCCTTGCTCTGTGTTCGGCTGATACACATATGCGCGTGGGTTCGATCTAATGCGCCGATGTGTGTTGACCGCTTACATTCACACACACATTCATGCGACAGCGCCTGCCTGTCTCTGTGTTCATCTTACACACATGCCTCTTTACCCGCGAGATCAGGCGTCATACGTGTTAATTTGACGGTCTTATTTTAATTATTATATTTAAATTTTACTATACCCAACGCTGGGTTATTGGTATATAACACATATATGTGAGTATTGAGGTAAGCTTTTTGTCCAAATGATTTGTGACAAATATCACACTCAAAGGGCTTGATACGATCATGTACTGCTATTATGTGTTTTTTGAGATCACCTTTGTATCCAAATGATTTGTGGCAAATATCACACTCGAATGGTTTGCTTTGATTATGTATTGCATTAATGTGAACTTTAAGGTCACCCTTGCGGCTAAATGATTTGTGACAAATCTCACATTCGAAAGGCTTTGTAAGATCATGTACAGCTGCTATTATGTGTTTTTTGAGATCACTCTTGTATCCAAATGATTTGTGACAAATTTCGCACTCGAAGGGTTTGTTAAGATCGTGTACTGTATCAATGTGAGTTTTGAGGTTCTGTTTTAGTCCAAATGATTTGTGACAAATCTCACATTCAAATGGTTTGCTCCGATTATGGACCAAATTTATGTGCCTTATAAGATTACTTGTTTGTCGAAATGATTTACGACAAATCTCACTTTCATATGGTTTAATGCTGTTTATGTACCAAGCTAATAATTCTTTTTTGATTCGCGTTCAATTTGTTCCCAGATGTTTTTCTATTTTTTTTTACCTCCTGTATTCTACAGATTTTGATCGGGATTGAATTCAAAATGGACGATTATTCTCGTAATCGAATTCTTTTTTTATCAAAATAACTATACTTTTTTTATTTAATTAACTCGTCGAATTTTGGTATTCTTTTTTCACATTATGTTCAAGTTTGACATATTTGCACTCTAAGTCAATTAATATTTTTTAATTTACGTTTGAGATAAAGTATTAGTCTCATGGATGTGTTTTGCCTAAAATAAAAATTGTATAATAATTTTGGATTGTAAAATAATAGATTTTCATTTAGATCATTGCACTCACTGTTAATTCATCAAGCGGCAATGTTTCAAAGTTTTCGGCGTTGCAAGATTTTATTGAATCCAACTTGTTGACACCGTCATCTGACCAAGTATTGTTTGGCTCTTCCTTCACCCTAAAGGATATATAATAAAGTGTATGATTTAGCAATCGCTTTATAAAAATTATGGCTTGTACAAAAAAAAGTTATACCTAACTATTCCCCCGTTGCTTTCCATCACTCGATTGATGCAATTCTGTTGTGGAAAGGGCTAACGAGATAACTCCATTTTTTTCGAAATCGAGTTTATGACATGAATTACCTATATGTTATGTCTACTTTAAGGTACAAGTGTCACAAAAGCTGAAAATAGCACCTCCCAGTTGAAAAAAATTGCGTGGATATCCACGTGGATCATACAGGGATTCCTTGAGGATGGGACATTGATTCCACGTGGATCGAACATGGATCATATAAAGAGTCCACGTACGTAAACCACGGGGATTTGCACGGAAATCCTCGTTGATTTTTGATCGATCCACGGGGATTTTCGCGCAAATCCTCATTGATTTTCGATCAATCCACGGGGATTCTCGATCGATCCACGAGGAATCCCTGTACGATCCACATGGAATCCCTGTATGGTCCACGAGGATTACTAATCCTCGTGAATTTCCACGTGGATATCCATGCAATTTTTTTCAACTGGGCTGTCGTTCAATATAACACCGTGCCTAACGAGATAAGTCCATTTCGCTGCAAACGATTCCCGGCCAAACGAGATAAGTCCACCTTTTCGAGCTCCAAAATGCGATAAAGAGTCTAGATTGATTTGAAAATGGAAGAAAATGATATTCCAACATACAAATGGCTCTCACACTCTTCGAATGTTGTGAATTTCACTATACAGTTGGTACATTTGATACACGAGGGGCCATTTTCGCGATTTTCAGTGTGGCCTTTTTTCGTTGCAAGATTTGAGATCTGACACCAGTATAACGTTAAATGAGCTATTTTATCAATGAAAAATCATTACATGAGGTTTTGATCACAAACTAAGCGAAATTATCGATATTGAAAAAAGTGTGACCGCTAAAAGTGGACTTATCTGCTAAGCGGTGAAAGGGCTAACGAGATAAGTCCATATTTTTTGCTCCGTATCGTCAATATCATGCGCCTTTCAATTTCACAAGTACATATAGTTTAAAGATACCTAATGATACGTAAAAATATCATAGGTACAGATCTTTAGTCGTCCGCGTCGAGCTAGGCCCTCGTGCGCAACTTAAAACGCGTTTTTCTCGAAAACACGAAAAATGGAGTTATCTCGTTAGCCCTTTCCACCACAGAATTATATTTACGCTCCAAATTTTCGCGATATGCTCTGAGAAAATATTTAAGGTTAAGGAGGCTGTAGCGAAATTGAAAAAATCTTTAGACCGGAGTGAAATTTTAACCACTGATAGTTGATGAAATTACAAGATTTTTGTTAAAAAAAAAAAAAAAAAAATTTGGGGGTTTCCATGCAAATTTGGGAAATAATGAAATTCAAAGTTTAGGCCATTTAACATTGAATCAAATGGGAAGTGGCAGTTGTTAGTGTACTTTGAGCTCAAATCTCTTTACAAGTTAATTAAGTTAACATATGTTAGGAAATTTCATTAGTTTTCGAATGATATAATTATGAATGGGTGTTTCCAGGCAAATAAAACTTTGAATTTCATTATTTCCTAAATTTGCATGGAAACCCCCAATTTTTTTTACCAAAAATCTTGTAATTTCATGAACTATCAGCTGTGGTTAAAATTTCACTCCGGTCTAAAGATTTTTTCAATTTCGCTACAGCCTCCTTAAGAGTTCTACCTTTTTTCTATGGTATTGTTTGTAAACACTAGCTCACCTATCAGGAATTCGACTCCTAGCGACTGAGTGAACAGCTCTCGTATATTAGCGAAATGATTCCGCGATTGTGTTGGCTAATTCTTGAGGATACCTTCTCCCTCCATTGTCCACTGACTATACGGCATATACAAAGGTATTGGCGTGTCATTAAAATTTCGCCGTAATTGGATCGTCAATTTCGAATTCTGCTGCAGTGCATAATGGCAACTTGTGATATATATTATTTTTTTATACTTCGTAAAATTAACTTGTTCAATCAAAAATATATCAATAAAAAAAATCATATTGAATATTGTGTCTTTAAATATGAGTTTTGTCCGCTCGTGCGCTTCAAGGTTTAGTTTTATTATAGATACTAGATGTTTTAAACGCGCGTCAACTTTTTCATTCGTGTTTTGAGGTTACTTATATAGAGATAAAGACCGTTAGAGATCGTTAATACGAAAAGTTGTCAAAAAAAACTTGTAGGGAAAGATAGTACCGCTTCGTTTTTATTTAGCAACATATTATTTTTTCAGTATTTTTGACTCTATATTAAAGAGACAATTATAGTTTCACTTTAACATAGATCAACTACTTTGAATTTCGCGGTTACTTTGAGTGCCGTTTTTTAAGATATTGAAGGAATTGATCATGAGGAGGTTTAAGAAACAATGAATTCGGTTTATTTTTTCTTTCAACAACTCAATATTTATTTTTTCATCTTCAATTTTAATTAACAGACGTCTCATTAGAAATCTAAAATTGTCTGATAAAGTACTTAACGAATTTTAAAACTAAAAACTTGGATCAATCGTTTCTGGCACTTTTATCGCACCGTAAGTGCGACGTTTCATGCTCATAACAGTGTTGCGTATCGTCGCGATCGCAATTTTTTTTTGATATGTCGCATATTTTACACTTGCCTAAGATAGATTAAATAGATTTTATTATAAGATATTAAGTCATGATAGAGAGATTTAAGATAAATAAAGATAATTTTTTTTTGCTTATTACTTTGTCCGGAGTAAATATTTGTTTCAATTATTTGTATTATCTATTAGTGCTGACCTAAACGTACCCTGTGTAAAATCATCTGCTTATGGTATCTCTGAATTATGTACTCTCAACTCTCTCGTTGTTTTTTTTTTTAATTTTATATATTTCTATATAATAATTAGAACTTGCGAAACAACAATCACACGTTGAGCCCATTTTTTCGTTAGAAAAGTGTAAAAAGTAGGTTTTCATGAGTCATGAAAAAATATTTTTGTTTTAAGATTTTTCATTCCCCTATGTTTTGTTTGATGTTTTTTTTAGAAATATATCATTTACTTTGCGAATACATATATAGCACTTACTTTGCGAATACGTATATAGCACTTACTTTTCTTTTTGTTTTTTTTTAGTTTAGAAATGCATAATTATAATTAATATCATATATTTACAAGATTTTTTAAAGTACAAAAGTACAATGAATTGTATATTTACAAGTTGCTTCGTATACAATCGTCGAACAAATCGTACAAAGCCAAAAAAAACGTAGATACGAATTCTTGTGAAATTGGAAGTTTTTTTCTTTAAACGTACCTAAAGCGCACATTAAATATCAAAATGCTCATGAAAAGTCTCGCTAAAATCTTGTTTTTCATTTATTCTTAAAAAAAGAAAGAACGAATCAATAATCATCGTAGCGTTGAAAAGATTACTAATCTTGCATTAAGATCCGTTTTTCGAACTATTCTCTTTCTCGCTCTCGGGCTCCTGCGTACGATAAAGAGAGAAATAAAAATGAAATACGATATGACGTGTAAAAAAAACAATTCGACTAACAAACATAAGTAAGAATCATCCCGATCCGACGAAATAATAAAATAAAAAAAAAACAATAAAATAATCAACTGCAACGTAAAAATTACAATAACAAAATAATCTATAATAATAATTCGATGCTTATGAAGTAAAAATAATAAAAACAATGTCTTTCAAAACCGAATAATAGTTCTAATAATAATAATAATAATAATAATAATAAACCGAGGTATGTGTGTCTGTGTATGTGTGCGCGTAGCTCTAACATGACGAAATCTACGTTTTGACGGAAGGACAGTTGTTGGGAACCTTGTAGGCGGCCGAGGCTCTGCGCAGTGCAGCAGCGCTGCTGCTCGGCCCGGGCAGATCCGCGATGCCGCTGTTGATGTCGCTCAGGGTGGCCATCTGCAGTCGCTTGTTGATGATCTCCTCGGACTTTTTGCCGGTGAGCTCCATTATGCTCGAGTGAATTCTAAAGTGCAGTCTCGATTCCAGCGAGTATCCGGTGTAGTTTTTCCTACATCAGTAAAATAAAGAAGCAGCGTTACACGCGAATCGAAGAATAAAACGAGAGAAGTCGAATCGTGTACTGACTTGGCATCCTCGAGCAGCGATATGGCCACCTGAGTATTACCCTGATCCCTGGCCAACATGGCCAGTTCCACGGCGGCGAAGGGCAGCAGATACGCGTCCTCCTTGATGCTCTTGTCCAGCTGCAGTACTCGCCTCAGGCAGTCCTGGGACTGCAGATACAGCTTCATCTGTCTCAGACAGGCGCCCTTGAGCAGCAGCACCAGAGCCTCGTTGTCGGCCGTGAACTCGTCGCGCGGCTTGGCGCGCAGCTGCGCCTCCTCGTCCTCGATGGTCTTGAACACGGCCATCAGCAGATCCTGATGCTTGCCCACGATCCGGAAGAGATTCCAGACGTACATGAGCTCGAACACGGGCATGACCAGGGTGCGCTTCTGGGCGAAGTATCGCTCGGACTTCTTGATGACGAATTTCTCCATCGGCAGGGACTTGCCGGCGATGCGCTGCTTGTGCTGGGGCACCTCGCTCATGTAGCGATCGATCGCGTACAGCTCGGGCTTGTACGAGCCGTGACGCTCGGCCATGATCGAGATCGCGGCGAGCTGATAGAGGTAGATGGTGCGAGACCAGTTGGACTCGGCGCGGAGACGCTCGGCGTAGCCGAGGGCCGGCATCCAGTCCTGCTTGACGCAGTGGGCCCACATCAGCTCCCAGAAGCAGAGATTGTGAAACTGGGGCCAGAGCTGCTGCGACTTCCAGGACTTGGTGTACCAGTCGATGCACTCGTCCAGATTGCCCCGCGAGAACTCGAGCCTCGCCTTGAGAAAGAGGAACCAGACGCCGTCCGGATAGAGATTGAGCTGCTCGTCCAGGGCGTTCTCGCACCACTCGAGATCGCCGTCCGAGTTGCTCAGGAAGAACATGATGATGAGATTGTAGGACAGGAGGGTCATGGCGCAGAGCACCTGGCGCAGACCCCGGCGATCCTCGTAGCCCGCCTGCAGCTGGCTCAGGCCGTAGTTCTTGTCGCCGGAGAAACCGATGAACTCCAGGAGTTTGATGACTCGGCCGGGCAGGAGGGAGATCATGAGGTTGAACGTGCCGATGCCCATGCGTATGCCGCTCTCGAAGTGCACGCGGTGCGTCTCGTTCTCCCATTTGCGCGTGTTCAGGATCTGCAGGCATTCTCTGCGAGAAATACAAAAATAACATATATATCGTTAGATCGGAGAGGCATTTTTGCTCGATGACTCGTACTTGTAGGATAGAAAACAGGTGCGGATCTTTAGGCCGGCCTTGACGAAGCTGACCAGCGTCTCGTCCTCGACGAAGGTCAGCATCGACTTGAGCAGCAGACACTCGGCGTAGCACAGCTCGGCGTGGACTTCCTCTGTATATAAACAATTACATCGAATTAAACGTATGTGCACGAGATCGTGTCGGTCGATTAAAATCGCTGCGAAAAACCATCTTATCCGATCAAAGTGTCGATCGAGTTAAGGTGTTTTTGTTTTTTTTACCATTTGAGTTCGCAAATTGCACGTAAATGTATCTCATTAAAAATTACTCAATCGTTTTACGAAAAACCTATGATATGTTTAAAAAAACTCGTCTGTCGCGTTGTGTCGCATTAACATTTGACCTCGACACCACTGTCATCGTCGCCGTTGATCCATCTATTACACCAAATCGATCCGATTAATTTTAATTGTCCTCTACTTATTTACACACATCGATAAGAGTGATATGTGTCTCTATGTTGGCTAGTTTTTCCACTCTTATCTGTCGCGTCTGCGTGTCTGTGTGTCAGTGAGCGATAGGATAAAAAAAACGACAGACGTTTTGTGCAGAAAATTAAAATAATATACTGACCGATGGTGTAAGAGTCGTAATTGGTCTTCTTGACCATTTTGCCGATGTTCTGCATCGTGGTGGTGTGGCGTCGGTGCTTCGTGCACACGGCCATGCACTGCTTCAAGGCTTCGGAAGCTTTTTCCACGTATTTCTATACGTAAAATTTCATGAAAGTTCGGACAGAGAAAGAGAGTTGAGATTAAAAAATTCATATCAGGTCGTAGGATTATTCAATTCTTTTATCGCTCGTCGTTCTCGTACCTGTTCGAACGTGAGTATCGCCTCGAGGAAGGCAAACACGCTATTTCCTAACGAATGATACATGCTCGAGTCGGCCCAAGGCTCCAAGATCTTCCTCGCCCGATCAAAGTCGTTGTTGAAGAAGAAGTGTATGGCCTGTTTCGACTCGAATATGGCTGTGTCCAGGTCCATCGTCGATGGGCTGCATAACGTGAAAAGTATAAAATTAAAAACAATTCCATCGTCATAATTATACACGAAATGCATGTGTAATCAGCTGGAACGAGCAAAAAAAAGACATCTTGGTCCCGCGCGCGGATAACGAGATATGTGTCTCGTTTTGACGTAAAAACGTGCTTTATTGTCATTCGCGTCAACGAACCGCGACTTTCAATATTATATCTCTTTTGTCACTATTTTATCTTATCGAAAAAAAAATGATGGATTTTGGTGTCAAGTTGTTTTGCGCGCCGGATTCGCTTCGATTGAACCCGAGCGGGAGCCGTGTCGCGCATATAGCTCTCGAATGACGATAGAGAGTCGAATAGTCATGATATTATGAAAAATTCAATTTTAATTTAATAATGTTGACTTACGGAGCCAGCTCCTCCTGCGCATCTTGGAACTGAAAATGAAAGGTTCATAAAATCGATTATTAAAATATCAATTTAATTTTCCTTGAATGTGTACAGAGCACGATATCTCACCTCGTCGTCTTCGACGTCGGACATTTTGGAAAATTCAAATTACTATATCGCCTCGCAACACCTGTAATAAAACATAAGGAAGGCATATCAATTGACAAGTAATATCGACCAATATAGAGAAAAATGATCATGTGCATGCATAATGAGTCACGCGTACTTCTAAAAAGTGCCCCGGTCACTTTTTTACTAAAACGTCATTTCGACTTTATACACGTGCAGTAAGGCAAATTCGAGTTTTTCCCCTAATAATGTTAATAATTTAAAAACTCGTTCATCGAGCGGGGATTACATATTATTAAGTTATAGTCGTCTACGGGTCAACATAACGGAGAGCTCGAAATGTTACTTCTTCTTCTTCTCGCTCGCCAAGTGACTAATCTTTGGTATTATACGACAGCGTTGGAGAGTGCCGTTATTACACACTTACACACATGCACACAAGCATCACCGCGAAAGGATGTGTGGTGTACGTATAATATGCACTGTAGAGCGCGTACTGTTTCGCCGCTGCAGCTGCAGCCTGCACTTTATAATACATGTACGATCTTGGCGCGCGGACTGCACTTGGCCGAGCACATGATGCAGGTTTTTGACTTTGGCAAAAAAGAGAGAGGAAAAGCCGACGGCAGAGATAGAGAGAGAGAGAGAGAATCGAAGCGACGATAGCACGGCATGGCGCGGCACGGCGGCGACGACGAGTGAAAAGGAGAAAGGCTTTCGCTCGGCTGCAATGTGCATGTGCGTGCCGTGCAGCAGTATATAAGTATACGGAGTATCTCGCTCGGGCGATGGATTTCTAAACTTTTGCGTTCTCCTTCCAATTTCCAGGTCATAATTCCTTTTTCGCAATTTCGCTGCACGATCGAGGAGCGCTGCAAACTGCACCTTTTAGAAATAGGCATGTAACTTTCCATCGGAAGAAAAGAGAGAGAGAGAGAGACTTTTTGGATACATCTTCAAAGTTTAATACAGTAAAGAAAAAGATAGACGTGTGTCATTATAAAAGGCTTCGCATTATCTTTTACGAAACAATTATGATGTGCAGTTTTCGCGTATGCAAGGCTATAACGCGGATATGACGACCGGAGCGATTGTAATTCCGCGTTTATCGTTCGTTTGCTCTGCGCGCGCCCGGATAGTCGGTCGCTGTCGGTGTATCGAAAAATTTTCCGAAGCTAGCTCAACTTGGGTTTACATTCATATTTTCTTTTTTATCGCGCGCACGGATTTTATCGTGTATAATGAGCCGTTGATCGTAATTATATGCGTGCATTAATCGAGTATATAGACAGAAAAAAAAAGAAAAATGATTCAGTCTTGATCGAACGATGTGTATAATAGAAGGTGAAGGAGACGAATTCTAAAAAAAAAAGAAAAGAAGAGACGACGACGAAGTCGTCAAAGGAGTTTTAGAAGTGCATTTCGGTATCGGAATCGATGATAAGAGAAAGCTTATATAGGCGCACGTTTATATCTCGAGAAGCTCGTTTGACGATCGAGTGCTATACGAGTTTTTCATCATATTATTAATATTATAGTCGATAAGCAGCAGTTCCAGACTTATGTTTATAATGTCAAAAGAATAACAACATAATATATACTCGTATTGTAATTATTATTATAACTCGAGTTGCCTACGACAATTTCTCCATCGGCTACCACGATTCGCTTCGACGCGAGCGAGACCGAGCTTTGCTTTGTCAGCTAGCTCATGTTTCATATGAAAAAGAAGTAAAATAATAAGAAGTGCCTCGATATTTTCAGTTTTTATCGCTGCGTATATAAACTCGAGAGATCATTTTCTTTTCTTCGCTTATTTATAATCGAACGATCGGAAAATGCCAGAAGCACGAGGGTCGTTCTCGCGGAGCGCAAAATAACAATACTTTTGCCAGACGCCAGTGAGAGAGATGTACGTCATATGCGACATATCGGTTGCGGAGAGTGAAAGAACGATAGTATAATAGTCACTGCGCTGCAGTGAAAGGTTGACGATAATCTGACACATTGCTCTCGTGGTACCATTATATCTGGGTAATAAAAAATTTCCTTCGCTGATTTTGGAATCGCATCGAACGAGTCGATACGTAAATTCATAATTCAAAATTCATCAAAGTTGACTCGTTAAAATGTTTTTGCGCGGCTTTACACTGTGATTGCGACGTATTTATGCATACACATACGTATCACACATCGGTACGTAGACGTGGAAAAAGAGAGAGAGAGGTCTATAACATTAATACTTTCACACGATGAATAATGCAAACTCAGCTGGAGTATACTGTGCTGGTGCTATATGCAGCAGCAGAGAGTAAGTGTAATATTATTATTGTTTTGTCGTCGCACCGACGAGGAATGCGAGCTTGTGTTCGAGTACATAGTAGCCGATCTGCTGCTGCTGCTGCAATGTAGGTGTACAATAGGCTCGAGCGCTGATGTGTAATAGAAAACACAAGCTCGCCAGCACAAGGTCGATTTCGATGGTCCCTTCTCCTATTATTGCGCGCATTTTTTTTTATGTTCTCTCATTACTTCCGCGGTATAAATCCTTATACGCCTATACTCTTTTTACGACGACGTTCCGAATTTAGTCCTACCACGCAACCCGTCCAAAATCGTCGCTTCCATCTGATTTATTCATTGTCACGTTCGTTATTAATCCGCGCGCTGCAGAGATGCGTAATGCATTTCTCTCTCCTAAAATTAGACAATGTCGCCTCGAGGCGTTAAGTACACAGACACGAGCTACTACACGTGTCACACGGATCCTCATGGTCCGTGCACGAGAATTCATTAACGAAACACGCGCAAACGGCGCGTGGTGGACTGCAGCAATGACGTGCGTAAAAGTCGGAGCGATTCTGCGTGTGGGCGGCTTCCTCCTCCTCCTCTCTCGATGATAATAATAATTGCAATTTCTATATAAAATACAATATCCTCTCTAGCGATGTATATTACGTGAAATCGTATTACCGCGTCAAGTGCAGCGCTGATTGTGCAGCACGAAATAATATAATAAAATCGAAACTCGCTCGGATTTTTTTTCTTCTCTCTATACTTCGCTTTCCCCTTCCTCGGTAATATTACAATGTTGCTGAGTGCTGCTGCTATTGTGCGCTGCGCTGCAGTACGACGAGAGAGCGGTGAAAAAGGTCAGTGCCCGGATGCCGTCAGTGAATTCATCGGGCGACTATAATATGCGTTGCACACACACACACACACACACACACACACACACACGATATCGCGCGCGAAACCGATCGCGAAAACGAGCGCGCGTCAAAACATCTGCAAGTGTTTTGTATTTTCTTTTTTTTTCTTTGTGAACAAAAACAGAACGATTACTGTGTCACGCGATGTAAAAGAGAACCAGAAATTGTAAAATATTTATAATTAAAATCCATTTTATATTCATAATTAAAAAACGTATACAGTTACGGGCCACACGTGTTACTTTTCATTGCGTACACGTTTGTTTGAAAAAGTACACCATTATAGAGCGAGCGCGGATTTAACGAGTAAACAAAAATTGAACGTACACACGGATTCGGAAATAGAATATTTTCACCGCACGCGCGGTTTGATCTTGAAAAGTGCAAGTGCGTGCGTATCTAAGAATAATAACGATCGAATAAGCTCCGCGAAGTAATCTTTCTTTTTACCCTCGTCGTGAAATAATAATAACCGCGCTATTCTCATCGAAATCTCGCGCCCACGCGATACGATGACCGCAACTGTGGACCTCTCTTTCTTTCGTCGACTAGAGATTCGACCAAATTTACGTTTATTTTCTCATTGACAAAACGATCGTTAAAAAGCACGCACAAGCTGTAAATTTACACTTTCATAAAAGTATTAAAAGCTCATGGGTAAACAAACGCGTGTCGTGTTGCATATGCACAAGCACGCACATGTCGATGTCGATCATGATCACGTTATATGTAACGCGTTATATGAAGCTCTCCCGCCGTTTTACGTAAGCTGCACAGCAGGTCGGAGAATAGAATTGTACCTATTCTACTGTACTACCTTCCTCTCTGGCTCTTTCTCTCTACCCCCCGCCGACGATCGCATCGTGACTCGAGTGAGCATGCACGTACAGAGAGTTACATATTGTATATTGTAACTCTCCTTCGGCAGAAAAAAAAGAAGAAGGAAAAATAATAGCGGACGGGCCGACGCGGACTTTCTTTCCTATTATCTACGCGACTATATAAATGTGTGTGTGTGCGGCACACACGACGTGTATATCGTCACGCGTCGAATGCGAAATTATTAAGCTTCCGCGGTGTGGATATTATGGAGAAACGATAACGAGTTGGAATTGTCGTCATCATCGACGCGTCCGAATTTCATACCCACACATACACACAATACATGTATACGTAATCATTATACGCTTCAAAGTTCCGTCGATTTTTTTTCAATACTCATCGCTGCTCACTGCTCGACTGCTGTATAATAGGAAGCACTATCTAATGTTATAAGCTTTACGAATTCTCTCTCTCTTTCCACTTCTTCGTATAATGCGCTTTGGTTTTCTCGACTTCTACGAACAAGTACGACGCTTCAACGATATATAGTGTATCATCCCTGCAGTCACGGGTGTTACATATGCATCATAGAGACTTGGACTCGACGAGCGACGACGACGACGACGACGACGACGACGACGACGACGACGATCATTAAACGTTCACGTCTGGCTGAGCATACGTAGTTGTCGCGAGCGAATCGTTCCGAGTATACAGTATACTCAGTGTGTATAATAAAGCTCTCGATAGTAGTCGTCGTTAATTTTCTTCTTCTTCTGTTCTTTTTATCGTTAAATTGCATAACTCGCGCGCGCGGGAAAGCCGACGACGATTCGGCTTGAAAATCGAGGAGGATTGCTAATTTCAAGCTTACACGCATGGAGAAACTTTTATGTATAATAAAAAATAAATACACACGAGAGATACGATCGTGCGTGTAAAAGGTCCTTCGTCGACAGTTTTCCGGGTATATTGCATATTGCAGCTTGTATGCCTTTGCTATTCCATTATTTGCTTTGGCTAGCTGCTGCACTGCAATACGTGCGTTTAGAAATAACGTGTCCAGTCATCACAATGCTATAATAAGATTAACCTAGTTCTGAACGAAAAGGGAGTCTTTGCCGCGACGGTGAAAGACCGATAGTTGCCTCAAATAATAATGTACACGTATAGGTTTACGCGGTTGAGGCAAATACTTGGAGTGTATTCGTGTACAACATCATATCATCGTGCATGTACTTAAGTCGTTGTATCGACCTTTCGATGCAGTTTTATATAAATAAAAAATTGAATACGCGTCGCGAAGCTTATTATTATTATTATTATTACGCACATTTATCGGAGTGGTCTCTCTCGTCGCGGATGCGATCGTTTGCGTACATATAGAAACGTATACGCATACACACTTGACGTATATTGCACTTACATGTATATACGCACACACACACACACATACACAGCTCGAGTGAAAGAAGAGAGAGAGAGAGATAACGACATGACGAATGTAGGTCGAGTCGAATCGACGTGTAACCGGTGCGTGTGTGCTTGCGAATGAATACACGACGACGACGACAATCGCGTATATTTGTAAATTATTTATAAGTACGTTTGTGCACATAGACGTCTCTTCTCGAGCCAATAATAAATAAATTGAAAAATTTTCCAAGTGCAGCAGCGAGAGAACAAATAATCGCCTTATGAACGTGGACGTGTTTACATCCGACCTTAACCGTATATGGAAGCTAAGACTACTGCACGCACGCACGCGTCCACTTTGCAAGTTTTGTATAGTTTAGTTAGCGAGTCTTGCGTATAGTATATAATACCTGGAGATCGCAAAGTCCGATACATATGATAATATTTATACGCTTCAAGAGGTATAAGTTGTACGTATTAGTAAGTGTGTAAAGTGTAAGCGTAAGACCCAAGTGCAGGTTCAATGTTTCCGGGTCAACGGCTATTTAATTTAATAAATATGCTTCTATGATGTTCGTGCTTCTTTATAATAATCGCGTATGCAATTGGCGTCGCGTAGTCGTCGCAACGTCGCAGCGTTTAAAAATCCATTTCCATTCCGAGTCACACTCGTGGAGTAAGTAACACGTAATCGCGAAAGATGTCCGGTGTTGGACGAAAAAGTTTACGATATTAGACGAAAAAAAGAAAAACGAGCTGCATCGCTCTCCGAGCGCCGCGGGGTAGAGTAGCATAGAGGCAATTGCTCGATACAGACACACGAACAAACGATTAATACAATTAAATCTCGAAATATCGTTACGTACTGCACTGCGCGCTCGCACGCACACACGATGCCTGCTCATCGTCGTTCTGTATACGCGAATATTTACTCGTGCGCGGACGTTCTCACGAAAAATCAGAAACAAAGCCAAAGAAAAAACAAATTAAACAAACAGTGCCGGAAGCCTGGCGAGTCGAGCGTTTCTCTCGTTACTCGTAGCTCGATCGAGAGAAACGAGAAAAAATACCATGACATTTTTAGCTTAAAAAATGCTATAAATCAAAGCACTCGAGGATCGCACAACATCGCGTAATTATGATTATTAGCATAAACGTATTCACGTGTTATAAGCCTGCGCGCGGATTTATGACAGTGTATATAATAATGACGATGAACGAAAATGAGCACCTCCGCACGAAAGACCAGACTATATATAGCTAGAAATTGTAAAGGCGAGCGGGCGCACGTGTACTGCTGTGTTTTATAGTAAAGAGAGCCACAGACACATAAAAGCTTCGCGTTTTATATGTTCGTCGAGAGAATGGCTTTCAACCTACTACTAGTATATACGTTTCGTATATGCCTATATTTATATGGATGATTCTTGGTAGAGCCGAGCGATATGGCTGCGAAAAAGCTCAAGGACGAAAAGGCTTGCAATTTTCGTAATTATAATCGACGCGCGTATAAACGACGACTGGACTTATATATATATATATGTGGAGAGAGAAGCAGAAAATAAAAATTATTATTAGCCCGTTAGTCGATGGAAATACTATGAGCTTATAAAGCTGCGTTATTTTACGAATGTCACACGTGACGACGAAGAAAGCGAGAAGCATGGGAGGGTCGAAAGCGCATAGTACTACGAGCACGCGCGCATACATACAAGAGCTCGAGCTCAAAGAGCAAATATAGGGAGCAGACAGCAAGAAAAAAAATCCATAAACTCGAGGGTTGGGAGGGGACGGGCTCGTCTACGTATAGCGAATACGCGACGACAGTCGAAAATTTACACAGACACGCGACACACGCGTAAATGAGTAAAGGGTAGTTGTAATTTAGGTACATTATACGTACGCGTCTTGTGTCTCTACAAAATCCTTCTTTCCACAGCGAGAGAGGGTGAAGTTGCGCGTGTCGAGAAGCTCGCGCGCCTTGTTTATGTACCGCTGTCACACAGCCACTGTATATATTGATATATCAACTATTATTACTATCACAGCCAATTAACGGAGTGCGCGAAAGCCTCTGTGCACCGCAGCAGCGCCCATGTAAACACTTCTGCTAATTCATCCACGAGGCCAAAATGCGCGTCTTCCGTTTTCTTCTGCACATACGACTATCTGTCTAAATGTTATTGTTGTATAGGACTGCACACGAGCGTGTCTGCGGTGCGAATCAGGTGTGAGACAAGAGCCTGCCTACACCCGCTGGATAGACAGTTTCGACTGACCAAGTCTTCGCGCACTGCTGCTGGCTGCGAGCATAAACAGCAGAAGCGGCGCTAGCAGCAGCGGCGGTGGCCAAGCCAAGCAGAAAGCTCCGCTCAGGCGCCTATGTATATATACCGCGATATAACCAAATATATATAAGATGATGCCAATATCGCTACTGCAATACGGTGTGTAGTTGTTCAATTGTGTATACGAAATAAAAGGAGAGAATATCAAGCGCGAATCGAGGTGTGTCGTTGCTTGGTTGGATGGTGATTGGTGGTGGCAAATGTGTGGCGCGCGCATCAACTCGCGCACGCGGATATCATAAAATATTTCATCGTTTATTATAGTTCGAGTCGAGTTCTATATTATGATGTTGGGCTCGCAGGCTTAAAAATACGTTTTTAATTAATTATTTCGCAAGGGTATAAGGATGGATGTTATTACGAAGTTCGAGGAGTAAAAGTACGATGATCGACGGTGTGCAGAAAGAATTTTACGAAATAAAGCTCGTAGATGGATTGACAATCGAATTTTAAAACTTAACAGAATTTGAATGACCTAAATATAATCGAATCAAATTGAAAGTAACGCATTGATTTAATTATTACTCCCCTTTTAACATTAGTTAAAGTGCCGGTAAAGTAGTTAGTTTGTATCGTTGGAATATGCCGTTACGTAAATTTACGCGTGGAATTATTATTGAATTTCCGCACTAATCTGACATAGCTAACGCCATCTGTAGGTCAAATCTTCTATGATGAATTTGAGATTGCGATACTATCGCTACAATCGATCTCGCAAGCCTGCTTGAAGTCGAACAATATCGACTATCGAAATATCTAATATCGAAAGTCGCTAGGCGCGCGAAAAAGGTTCGCTGTTAATTTGTTAGCGCGACCCTATCGTCCAACGTGACTGGAACATTTTTTCGTAATATGTTTTAGAAACAGATTTTTTGGGCCTACTGCCACAACTAAACCGAATGAAACGGAACGCTCGTGTGGATCGTCGATTTAAAGTGGCGTGTTCGATGTTTATCTTAATATGTAAACTCACGAGTCACAATTACACGCGTAAAATACTCTGAACGAAATTCAACCGCGATGTGAATGCCCTGTTTGTATTTATTTTTGAGTCATTTGTCATCAGCAAAAGGAAATCTAATTGTTTCAAAGCCGATCATTCGTATAGAAAATCGTCGGAAAAAACATGGAAAACCCTATGTCATTTTATCAAATCATAGTTAAGCTTACTGCTCGAGTAAAATTACGATTTTTGGAGCTAATTAATAAAACGATACGGCATATCTCTCATCGTCTTATCAACGAGTTGAATGATATTATTTGATTTTCCCGATCCTTATCGTTACGACGTACCCGTTTAAAGAATTTTTCGACTTCCGAACTTTTACGCTACTCCAAGTCCGGTACGCTTTTATCGTCGTTCGTACAAAAAAATTAGCCTTCGACCATGTCATTGATTACAATTTTTCAGAGCGGCGGCATAGGTCACACATCGTTATATTGTGTGCGAGGTGTACACATCATAGACTCCGCGCCACGCGTGCACTCGTGTATCGTCGCGCAAATTATACAGTATCTGTTGTTATAATAGAGTCTACTTCGGTGTTGCAGTAGTAGTGGCCGACGATACACTAAGCACTACATAACAGTAGTCGTATAGAGCTCCGAGCGTGGCGCGGTCGCATCACCACGTAATCCCCCAACAACACGACGACTTGTCATCGGTGTCAGACCATATATTATTTAAAGTTAAATGCTTATGTCATAGGCAACTTTCGTTCCTATACCAGAATTTCTGCATGGGTATGTAACTATAAGTGATTCGCGGGTGAAAAAAACGTGTGTCGCGATGCGTGCGTTAACAAGCTTCGTAATTCAGTCGGGAGTTCGCGCGAGTCCATGAGAGGTGTTACCTCCTGCACCATCACCACAGCTCCCTATACACATCTTTGTTTTTTGTTTACACGTCGTATAGGAATTCGGATTTCGGCAGCGCTGTCATCATCAAAAAATCAGAGCACCAACACATCAGGCGCCGCTAACCTATTTCAGAACTCCGAAAGTCAAGAGAAAATTCACCGTGTCGTTAGTAATGCTGCACCGACTGCTGTAATATGTGCTGTGTTGCTGTACCCCCCAGTAGATGTGTACCAGTGTGTTGTGTGTGTGTGTGTGTGTGTAATAGTAGTGTAGTAATACGCGAATGATCTCCTGCCTGCAACACGCGCGACACTCGCTGTGTTTACGTTACAACAGCAGCGAATCTTACAAACGTGCAGTTCGATGCAGCAACAGCAGCAGCAGCAGCAGCTCATACTCATTGCCAAGAATTTTTCCTGCGTGATGATCAGGTGAGTAGTCGTTTTAAGTATTTTATAAAGACACAGCTACGCAGCAGACACACGGTATAGGTCACTATGTTTACCTTCCGAATTATAGTCGCCCCGAGACATAGCTCTCATACTTGAGAAGTGTACTGTCCGCGCGGTATATTGTGCATATAGTGCATCGCGCGGTGCTTCGTACTTAGCTGCACACAAGAATTAGCAGTCGCCTCGTCGTTGTCGTTCACTCTTCTACACATATAAGTATGTAATTGCCTTTTTGGCTCGATTGGTATTTACGCGATTCGTACCGACTTGCCTCGACTCCGTTTCTTTTTTTTTTTTTTTCTTACGTACATGTACACGGCTTGACGCATGTCGTACGCATTATACACACATAAAGTGAGAGAGAGATGGTTCCTCGAGTAAACATAAGGTGTCTTCGTTGGTTGATTATTGTGCTGTGCGTCCACTAGTCGAATCATAATTCGTCACTTTGTTTATTTTATTTATTTTTTTCTTATCGTGCGGCTCGAGTGCATCAGCAAAAGAGAAAATAAAGATACGAACTATCTTCACGTCAAATGAGATCTCTTGAATATCACATTGTTCTTACCTTTTGTAGAAAATATAAAATAACTGGTATTCTTTTGTGATGTCAAGTTTTGTTAAACAATAGTCTAATATTATGTAACTGACACTCGTGTGTAATTTATGCCTCATTAAAATCATGGAGCGCAATGACTGTGTGTCCTCTTTGAAAATTTATATAAATCATGATTATTAATCAAATTTACTTTGAACATATGTGCAGCTGACCTTCCAGAGCTAGTTTGTCACAAATTTCTACTATATGTGTGCTTTCTTCAACCGATTGAATAAACATACATTTTCATTATAATGGAAAATCAAAGTCGTCATCAAGTGCACCAAGGCTATCAGTCTTTTTGGAAAAAGAATTCTAGAGCTATACCTGGCAGGTAATGCCTAACTTGTTCTTACTTAAAAAAAGGATCCTGTCAACATTTTTCAATTCAATAATTTTTGCAGACCAAGTTTAAAACAAGATGCACGAAGTGAAAAGGGAAGCGCAAACTCAAATTCAGTTGGAGCTCCAGGCACAGGAGGTCCAACATCGTTTCAAGATTTTGCAGAAAGTGTAGACGATGCATGGGATACAGGAGATGATGAATTTTGTTTGGTTTCTGATGTAAGGATTTCAAAAAAAGTAAGCGAATCAGCTGCTTTAAGTGTCATCAATCATCATCGATCTGGTACAACAAGTACGTTGCCACAATCTAATAATAAAGAAAGTGACAGCAAGTGCACCATATCAGAAAAAAAGAAAACAGAAGCCTTACAAAGATTAGCAGTACAGCCTCTTCATCTCAGAAATGCTGAAGTGAATGCTAGTAGTTCTAAAATAAGTGTGCATAATACTAATAATGCAACACCAAAAGCAAGTAGTTGCAATCAGCGTCAAACACATTTTCCTGGGAGACCTCAACCCTTGAGACAGTCTAATTCTGGCTCTAAGTTTTTTGTACCTTCCAAAGAACAAGGTATTTTAATAATTTTTCAATGATATTGCCATGTTTTGCTCAATTAATTCAAAATTCATTAATGTAAACATTTTGAAAACAGATGGAGAGAGTAAAATTGATAAATTTAAAGTACTATTGGAAAGCTCTCTTCTTAACTTGGATGAACTTAGGCAATTATCATGGTCCGGTGTTCCTGCAAAATTACGTTCAGTTACTTGGAGATTATTATCAGTAAGTAATTACACTTTAATTTGTATTTGACTTCTGAGTGCAATTAAAAACTTAATCTAATAATTTTTAATTTCAAATTGCAGGAGTATCTTCCAGCAAATTTAGAACGTAGAGAACATGTTTTGGAAAGAAAACGCTTAGATTATTGGAATTTAGTAAGACAGTATTATGATACTGAAAGAGATGAAGGTTTCCAAGACACATATCGGCAGATACACATTGACATTCCAAGAATGTCACCTCTCATATCACTTTTTCAACAAACAACAGTACAAATGATCTTCGAGAGAATACTGTATATTTGGGCTATACGTCATCCAGCTTCAGGATATGTTCAGGTATTTATAAATTTGTATGGAAAAATGTTTATAACTTCATGAGGTTTTAATTTTTAATTTTTCAGGGTATGAATGATTTGGTTACACCATTTTTTCTTGTGTTTTTGCAAGAAGCCATTCCAGCATCAGCCTGGCAGACCATAGAAAATTATGATGTTGCATCTTTACCGCAAGTTCAACGTGATATCATTGAAGCTGACAGTTTTTGGTGCTTATCTAAATTTCTTGATGGAATTCAAGATAACTATATTTTTGCCCAGTTAGGAATTCAACAAAAAGTTAATCAATTAAAAGAATTAATACAGCGAATTGATGGTACTGCATTATTTCCATTGATATGCTCTTCATTTGAATTCAATTACTAATATTTTCTTAAATTTTAGCTCCCCTCCATCAACATTTAGCTCAGCATGGTATTGATTATCTTCAATTTTCTTTTCGTTGGATGAATAATCTACTAACTAGAGAACTGCCTCTACACTGCACTATAAGGTTGTGGGATACATATTTAGCTGAATCAGATCAATTTGCATCGTTTCAATTATATGTGTGTGCAGCCTTTCTTTTACGCTGGAGAAAACATTTACTTCTTCAACCAGATTTTCAAGTGAGTTACCTGATAACGCAAAAAAAATTGATCTATAATTGTCTTACATTATGTAATTATTTTTTATTATTTTTTTTAAGGGACTGATGTTAATGCTACAAAATCTACCTACACAGAACTGGTCTGACTCAGAAATCAATGTTCTAGTAGCTGAAGCCTACAAATTAAAGTTTACTTTTGCAGATGCGCCAAATCATTTACAAGCCCATGACTCTAGGTGACCAGATATGAAGAACAGTTAACCTTTTTTTATGGTTAACAATTGTTATGACCGTTGCCAAATGGACAATACTATGTCTAGTTATTATGTACTACTTTTTACAAAGTCAGTAAAAGCATGATAACTTGTCATTACTATAATTGTCATAAATTCTACAGATGTTATCGTTGAATTTTACTTAAAGATACTTTTTCTGATTATATTATGCTAGATTTATATTTTTCCTGTTGCTAATACAAATTTTATTCTGGTATAATTTGATAATCACAAAAAAATATTTACGGAATCTATCGAAACGCTTTAATAGACATAAAACAGTCTACGATTTTTTCGTAATAAGTTCACTACACGTTATTGTCCAAGATTTTTACAATAGTTTTTCATTTTTGAGAAAATACCATATTGGTAGGTCTTCTGTAATCTCATAGGGAAGCTAATGTTTGGTAAATTTGTAACAATATAGATGATATATTATTTTTGTACTATATTATTATATTTAGGTCCATTATCTGTATGGTCGATTTCGCAAGGAATCGGCACTATACATAGTGACGATTATTTGTGCTCAGCAATTTACTACTACTAAACTAAAAAAAACTGCCGCTGACAAAACGGCTGTAAATAATGAAAACAGCGAGAAGTGTGATAATATATTTTGTTTTTTCATCAAAAACTAAGATTTAAAATTATATAAGTATGGATCCATGTAAAACATTCAGTCCATATTTTTATTAAGATCATAAATAGTAAATAAATAATGAATTAATAAGTAAATATCTTAAGTCAAGTTTATATACACAGTATAAAGTTAATCATTGTCCTCCAAGAGTGTATCAACTATGAAAGTTCTGTATTGAAAAAATTCGTTTCGTGCAGGGTAAAAAACGATATAACAAGTGTCTTGTAAGCACAAAAGTAAAAAAAAAACGAAGTATGGTCTTTTTCGAGACAAATATTTGTACATATACTTGCCTGTTGCTGAATTCAAAAATTTGAATTTGTATCGAATGAGAATGAAAAGAAAAATTGTAAATATAAAACTAAGCTCTGTGAACTAATGAAATTTGATATCTGCGAATCATCGAACGACTAATTAAAGTAATTTTGTTTGAATTTTTAATCAGTCTATAAAACAGTGGAAGCACACACAGGAGAAAAATTTCTAAGAACAAATATTGTTATAAATATTTATAAAATTTATGATAAAAAAAATAAATACAAGACACTCTCATGATGAGAAAAACACATTGTGTAACGCAGAGAGAGATTGCGTTACATCACAGAGACTGAATCGAATCTAAATGTAATAAACCTATGAAGATGTCATATATAAAATCTGTATAAAGTAAGAGTAAATTCATGATATATTATATAGTTTAAAATTTGTGTTAAAAGTTATTTTTCCAAATTTTTCTTATAATTGAGTAGATAAAAATTAAAACAAAAAAAAGAGAGAAGATTTAACATGATACATTTGTACAAGTACTAAAAGGGTGGCGTTATAGATGTTTAATCCTCGTCGAGATCGTAATCCAAATCACCGCCTTGCATAGTCGAGATATCGTCGTCGTTGTCGGTAGTCTCCTGCATAAAGAAGACATCGAGTAAATCAAAATTACACAGTGGGTAAAAGGTTGCGCAAATAACTTACGAAATCCACGGTAATGGGCATCGGATAGTCGCAGGGCGCGCACTCCATCTTGCTCAGGCCGTCGTTGTTGGCGATGCACTCGCAGTGCTGGCAGGGACTGGGTCGGGCCGTGAGGGCCAGCCTCTTGGCGAACACGGCGCAGAACTTGCGCAGGGCGCCGGCGCGCTCGCGCTGCCTCAGCTTGGCCCCGGCGAAGATCGTGCCGTTGGTCTCCAGGGCCAGGGGCATGCAGTAGCCCAGGGCGCTTTTGGACAGGCGCACCTGGCGCCGCAGCTCCGGATCGCCGCTGAGCACTCGGGCGTCCTTGCGCGTGTAGCTGCGCTGCGCGTCCAGACCGTAGAAGATCTTGCTGAGTCGGCCCTTGTCGAAGTGGAACTCGCCGTCCATGAGGATGTGCAGGCTGATGCCGCGCTCCTGGAGCGCGTGGTACAGCGTCGAGTAGTCGAGCTGCGGGTGGAATGAAAAAGTTATTAAAAAAAAAATTATAGTTGACGATTCAAAATGCAAAATCCTTGCTCGATTAAACATAAATAGGCGGATTTTCAGGTGAAAATATACCTGGATTGACCTAGATTATACATGGAAAGTTGATTTCCACATGGATTTCTATTTAGATTATTCAATCGATTTTCAGCTGGAAATCAGCCAGCCAGATCATCCAAATATTTTATGTGTACTGAAGTGGATTCCACGTGGATTTAATCGAAACTTACCGTCTGAGCATCGGGATCGCATTTGGAGCAAGGCATGAGGACGAAGGTCTTGGCGACTCCGGCTCTGAAGGATAGCTGCGCGGCGAACCTGATGGCCTCGAATATGTCCTGGCTGCCACCCTCTGCCACGGGCACGCGCTCGAAGTACTCGGCGAAGCGCGCCGCGTCCCGGGCGAAGACGGCGTTGTCGACGACGAGGCTGCGGGCTTTCTCGTACACGCCCCGGCCACCGAAGGTCACCAGTGACCAGCGATTGTCGCGCATACCGGCTTCCTGCAGCTCCTTGTTGATGGCTTGAAGCAGTTGGTCGATGCTGCGATTCTGGCCGATGGCGCGATTGCACTCCTTGGCCTCGACGATGAAGATCGTGTCCACGGACTGGGGCACGCCGATGCTGCTCTGCTTGTCGGCGCCGAGCTTGCGAAACTCGCCCTCGGGCACCTCGAGGCCGCTGCCTGCCTCGCTGCAGGTCGTGCAGCGATTCGGTATGCGCAGGTAGGTGTCGTGGAACATGCAGGTCTGCAGGTAGGCCATGGCGACGGCGCAGGCCTCGCGATCGTCGAGGCTGCGGGCGCACACGTCGAGGTAGCCGCTCGGCTCCACGATCGGGAAGCACGAGCCGAACTCGGAGCTCTTGTTGCCGAACAGCTGCTGGCAGAAGTCGGACTCGCGGCTCAGCTGCGAGGTGACCGGCGCCGACCTGGCCAGATTCTCCTGGGCCTTCTCCGCGTCGCTGGACGAGGAGCACTCGGGATCGAGCGACCAGCTCTGGGCGAAGCGGCCGACGGCTCCGCGCTCGACTCGGCCCGTGGAGGCGAGATGGTCGTCGCTCGGCTCGTTGTTCATGGTGCCGAGGAGACCCGCGGTCTTGCCGTAGTACCAGCCCGACAGCTCGAGATTGCAGAACTCGTACTTGAGATTGCACTCGAGCTTCAACTGCTTGTCGGCGCGTTCGACGCTGACGAGGCTCTCGTCTTGGTAGACGAACACGCTGCCGTTGTCCAGTTCCATCGGCATCTGCAGCGGCTTGTCCTCGCCGAGCAGTCTTACGCTCTAAATGTTATCGTTCGAATTATTCCTTTGAACTCGGCACTCATGATGATTAATTAATCGTGTAAATTTTATCGACTCACGTCGTTGAATATATCGAGCTCCACGGCGTGTCTACCGACGAGCACGACGAGCCTGTGCGTCAGTCGGCCATCGGATTCCACCTTGTACTTGATGAGCAAGGCGAACGAGTCGCGGACAAAGTCTCGCGCCAGCAGATACGAGGAGCAAGATCCCGCAAAGTCCAAGTGGCGACCGTCGAAGGTGCGCAAGTGCTGGGCGCCGATTATCATCGCTTGAGCTGTAAAACACGCGAGTCAATATGTATTATTTTCGATTTTGTGGCTGGGTAAACTGCTTTTTCAAAATAAACAGCTACATTTCCATGTGAAAATCTGTATTATATCGACGTGGATTTCTACGCGGACTTTGAAAAAAATTTCAATTTGGTATACTCGCACATTTCCAGATATAGATTTCCACACAGATTTCCACGTGGGAGTCCAGTTGTTTTTACGTGAAAATCTACAAGTACATGGACGTTCCCAAAGAGTTATACGTTTTTATGTCAATTTAAATTGAAATGCTTTACTCTTCGAGAAAAGCGTCGATATCAACTTTGAACTTAAAAAAAAAAATCTACGTGGAATCTATCTCTTACAACGTAGCTTTTCATTCGGGGATGCAATTTTGTTTATTTTACACAGGGCTCAGAAAAAAACCATACTCGCAAAGATTTCCGTGTTGTGAAGTAAAAAAAGTTTATTATAAAAAAAATTCAATTCTCTTTTCATGTTAATACTATCTCGATACATCTCCAGAGGATTTTACGAGCTAAGTGAAACAGATCGATGGCTAAATGTCGAGCCCACTCCGCGAGCTCCGCTAACACCTCCTCGAGCTGCTTACCTTTGAAGGGTGGCAGCCAGTTGGTGGGCTCGGTGAGCGGCTTGATCTGATAGTACAGCGTCCAGAAGGTCGTGTTGGACGCGGCGAAGTACGATCCCATGTCGGCCAGCGCTCGATACTCGGGTATCTCCTGGAACTCGGGCGTCTGATTGAAGGCGTGCCAGGACATGGGCAGCTTCTGCTCGAGCAGCATGAGGCCGTTGTTGGGGTCGTAGACGAATTTGGTCTTGGCCTCGCGATACCGACTCTCGGCTTGGAGGGCCGTTTGGCTGATGTCCATGAGTTTGGCGTGCACGAGCCGGATGGTGGTCTCGAGCTTGGCTCGCACCTCCAAGTACTCCCAGAGGTAGACGGCGCGATCGCGCAACTGGCCCAGCTTCTCCGTGGCGTACTTGACCGACGGCAATTTCTGCAGCTCCTGGAGCTCGCTGAAGATCTCCTCGACGACGTCCTTCAACTCCTTGCCGAACGGCACGAAGGCGAAGTAGCGCTCCTTCAGGAACTGTATGACGGACGACGAGTACTTTTGTATATTGGTGATGATGTCGTTGGCCTTGACGTCCCGATAAAATTTGTCGATGTCCTGGGTGAAGTTGGAGAAGTGATCGTAGTAGGGCGAGGTGATGAGCTCGAGCTTGCGATCGTAGAGGAAGTTGAAGAATTCCTGCACCGCTCGCCAGGTCACCGTCTCCAGGTAGTGGGCCAGCTGGATGAAGATGGGCTCCATGTGCATGAGGAAGCGATGCCACTGAAGGGCGATCGACTGATAGATCTTGTTGTAAAGATGCTCGATGTATTTGATGAAGGAGACGTGCAGATCCTTGACAAACATGTCGTACTTGATGATGATCTTCTCGACGATGCTGGCGATCTGGTTCATCGAGTCTCCGCGCAGGATCGCTCCGGCGATCTCCGACAGCTTCCGATAGGCTTGCTTGACCGTTTCGATGATCCAGAGCAGCGAGTCGCGCACGGCCTGACCGGATTCGCCCATTATCTCCCAGATCTCGTTGATGATGTTGGGCAGCGATTGGATGTGGCTGCGCAGAGCGAGCTCGTCGATGGCGTAAATCGCGGTGGCCACTATGTCCTTGATGTAAAAGTCATTGGCCTGGTAAGACTTGTTCAGATAGATCTTGAGATTCTCGAAGTCGCCCTCGATCACTCGGAGCTCGTTCAGATCCTCGAGAAAGTCCTCGAGCTCGTCCTGGGCGTCGGTCCAGATGTCGGATATCACGCTGACGGTTTCGCTGCGTACGTAATGTCTCCAATAGTCCAGGTCCTTGCTCAGCTCCTGATAGGAATTCGACAGAGCGCTCCTTATGGCATTGACGACGTCGGATTTCAGCTCCGGACGCCACTTCATCTTGGACGTCACCAGTCTCGAGTGATTCAGCCGCAGATAGAAGGTGACGTCGGACACCTGCAGATCCTGATCGTACGTGCGCCAGATGTCGAAGTGAGCGTTTCTCGCGTCCGGAATGCTGCCGTACATCCTCAGACTCTCGACGGCGTCGGGCGTGTAATTCACCATCATCTTGGTCATCTTGTCGTCGAAATCGATGAAGAAATCCGCGGTGGCGTTGAGCTCGTGCCCGTTGACGGCGCTGCCGTTGATCGAGTAGCGCGGATAGGTCGGATAGTATCTCGCCTGCAGATACTTGACCAGATCGTTGCTCTCGCGACGGAACTCGACCTCGTTCCTGCTCAGATCCACTCGGCCCATGAGCATGCCGCACTCCTCGGGCAGAAAGCTGCGCTTGTACTTGGCGTCGTTGTACGTTTCAGCGAGTTCGGATCTGTATCTTCGGGCGTGGCCCTTCATGTCCAGCTTCAGCTGAGTCTTCGGGTGTTCGCCTCGAATTCTGTAGCTGTACTTGCGCTCGGTGGGTAGATCGCTCTCGTCGCGTATCACCGCCTGAAGTTGCACGAGTTTGTCCTCTTGGGCCGAGTAGTCGACGACCAGGCCGACGTTGAGGAGATCGCGCGAATCGCGCCTGGCCAGTGTACCGATGAATCTGACGTCCTTCTTGAAGCTAGGATGTCTGAAGCTCAGTACAGCTTTCTGCCGAGCGATCTCGTTGTCCGATTCCGTGGAGTTGGTCCAATCGAAGGCGAGCCCCAGATCTTTCGCTCTGTCCATGTGGCTGTCCCAGATCAGTTTGGCTTCGGCGTTCAGTGCCGAGGTCGTTATCGAATACGAACCGTCCAGGGTGAAATTACGCCTGGGATAAACGACGCTCAGCACCATGAACTGATTCTCCGCGTCTTCTGTGGTCTTGTTCAAGACGTTGATGCGATACGAGATCCAAGCGTCCTCGGCCAGGCTGAACCAGCAGTTCTGATCGAACTCGCCCGGCAGCACGTCGTAATCCGTCTTGAACTTGACCGTGCGATTCGAGTGCACGGCCTGCAGCTCGATCCGCTGGCCCGTGTGCGTCGTGCGGATCCTCGACTGGCCCGTCACGTTGAAGGCCGTCGCGTTGTTCAGCTGGTAGACGTTTACCTCCTTGAACTCCACCGTGGGATAGTTGGTGCCGTAATTGCCGGCGCTGTACTCGAACTCATTGAGATAGACGATTCCGAGCGGCATGAGGGCGTTCTCGATGCCGATCTGTATGCGATCGCGCTCGAAGCCCGCGCGAGACTCGCTCTTGGACTGGTAGCTGCCCTGCATGATTTTTTCCTCGTTGTAGACGAACTCGGAGTAGCCCTGGGTGTGGAGCGGGCGTTTCTTGTAGCCGTAAGTGAAGAGGCCGCAGTGGCGAGTGCTGAGCGGCACCTCGGCGCGCAGGTGGCCGTCGAGATTCGAGTCGAGGCGCTCGCTGTTGTAGGCGTAGAACGAGTCGACGAGCGCCGTGTTATTGGGCCAGGATAGCTGAACGAAGCGCTTGTTTTCTTTTCTGTAAAAGTAAAGTAATGGCAAATTAATTCGAGACTCTAAAAATGATGGTCGATCGTGGAAATATAGCATCTTTTACAGAAATATACTTACAGAGTCGTCACGATGACGAATTCGCAGCCGATTTCCGACAGATGCGGGAACGACGTCGAGGCGTTGAGCGTACCGTTGATGTTGATCAAGCTCTCGTAGAAAAGCTTGGCCGATCCAATGCGTTTCTGGCCGGGATAATTGATGTCGGTCCTCAGCAGCGTGCGATCCTCGTCCCTGCTGTCGTATCCCGCGAGCAGCACGAGCGTCTCCTCTTGCTCGTAGAGCGGCGTGAAGAGCGAGTACTTCAAGTCGATGGTCTTGCTGTCGAAGGTCACGTTGAAGACGTTGTTGAGGGTCTCGTTGATCCGAGTTCCCCAAGCGAGTCTCAGGTGACCGTCCACGTCGTTGGCCGACATCTTCAGCGAACCGTCGGACGCGTAATTCGACCGAGCCACGTCGCTCTTGTAGCCCACGACGTAGTCGAGATCCTTGAACTCGTCGCGCACGTGATAACTCAGTATCAAATTGTGCGTATCCGCGTCCGGCGGAGGCAGCCTAATGGTCAGCAGCGCGTCGACGTTGCTCTGGTCCTGTGCACCCACCGACACCTTGGTACCGAATCGCCACTGCTCCTTGTCGACGTCGATGTCGAAGCCGGTCTCCACGTGCTTGAAGGCGCGCTGGGGATTGGCGTAGAACACCGTCGCGACCACGTCCTTGTTTCTGTCGCTGCCGTCGAGCTCGCGACCCGCCGAGATCTGCGCGAACATGTCGCTCATGTAGAACAGTCGCCAGGCGAATTGACAGCGGCCGACCTCGTGATTCAACCTGTGAGCCACTCGAACGTAGCCGGTCCGATTGTCCAGCAGCAGATTGCCGTCCAACACTAATTTCGCGAGCTCGGGCCAGGGCGTCTCGGCCTCGACGTACAGCGTCGTGTTGCCGTTCACCTGGACGTTCATGAAGGTGACTAGGTCGTAGGACCCGGCGTCGACGGGTGCCACCGCCACGCGCACGTCCCAGTTGTAAGGATTGACCAAGTTCATCTTCAAGCTGCTGTTGATCCTGTGGCTCTCCGAGGTGAAGCTGATTCCGTACTTTTCCCTGTTCAAGCTCAGCTTCGTCGGCTGCTGAGTCGAGCCCGCGGCTTTCGAGCTGATGGTCAGGTCGACCGAAGAGAAAGCGTCGTTCTCGTATTTTATCGGACCCACGACGTCGTAAACTTCATCCGTGTCCAAGTTTTTCAATGTTCCGACCAGCTCGAACAAGCCGGTGCTTATGGTTTTCAAGTCTCCGTTGAAGACGTATCGCTTGCCAGTCGTGTCTATTTCGGCGTCTACTTTATTATCCTTCAAGCGACCGGTGAGCTTGTATTCTTGATTTTTGTGATGGCTCAAACGAGCCACGAGGTCCGCAGAATTTTCGGTAAGTAAGTTATTGTTGAAATCTACCTCGGCTTCGACGTTGATTATGGGCTCGATCCAAGTGTTTATGAAGATTGATCCTTTCATTTCTGGTCCGTCGTCGATGAGCCAACTGACGGCAAATTTACTCTGAAAAGGGATTTTCATTGATTATAATTTGATTGAATTTTACTTATATATTTTTTATCGAGTAACTTACATTTTTTACAGTTGGTTCGAAAACATCTAGTATTATCTCAATGTGCTTCTCTTTGTCTGTGAAATCTTTTTTGGCGTTGAATTTCGTTTTCGCTAGGCTCATTATGGGACTGTCCAACTTGGCCTCGACATTGACGTCCAAATAATGTGTATCAAGCTGTAAATCGAAAAATACAATATAAAAAAAGATAAATGACTGTAGATAGAAAATAGTTGAAAAAAAATGTGTACACACCTCGACGGATCCAAGGAAATCCACCAAACTCTCTACGGAACGCATCGACACGTTAGCTTTGTACAGATTTTCATCGATCTCAATGACGGAGTTGGATTTCAGGAACAGCAAGAAACGTAGCGGAGTCTTCATGTCAAACTTCAACATGTGAATCTGTTGTTCGCTGTCCTCGGAGTTTCGCGATGTGTAATTAATGTTGAATCCGCTCTATGACAAGAAGTAACGATTAGCATTATTTTTTTTCTTGTATAATTGAAATTTTTAAATTAAAAAAAGTGTATACCTCGATCCAGGTGGAATAATTTCTGATGTTGAAGCTCAGATCCATCAAATACTCGGATTTGTCAATATCAAGGTCCAAATTGTACAGCGACACTATTTCTGATGCGCTGGGGAACGGAGTGTCGATGCTCAATTCGTTCTTGATGTGAAAAAAGTCCTCGAGAGTGAATCGATCCTCGAGAACGATATTACCGACTGGTAATTTCACTATGGCCAACACCTTGTCCAGCGCACCATCGCGTTCGTAGTCGACCGACGCGGAGAGCGTCTCGACGATCACCAGGTCGATGTCCAGATCGCCTTTCCAGGAGAAACTGGAGTCGAACTCGTCGCTGAAGTCGTACGTCTCCTGATTGTCCTCTTCGGTGTTCGTCACCTTGCTCAAGTCCGGCTTGCTGGGAATGGCCACGGGTGGGAGCGGTTTCGGTCCCGCGTGCGCCTTGATTCCGGCCTTGAGCTCGACGACGCGCAGCGAGAATTCCGTGTCGACGTCGATCATTCCGGATGGTTCCTTTTGCTCGACCACCAGTTTGGTTATTATGCCAATTTCGTCGAATCCTTGTAACGGTGTGTACAGGATGTAGCTGTAGTGGAAACTCGTTATGTTGTGATAGAACCAAACACCCTGGAAATAAAATCAAGTATGAAAATGGATTTTGATACTGGATTTCTTCGTGCGAATCCAACTATTTATCGTAAACGTTATATTACGCACCTGGAAACCAGCAGTTATGTCATTGTAAGCGATTCGGAAATCGGCCTCTCTTTGATTGAGCTTGGCTACGAGCAGAGCCTGCTGCAGCACATCGATCGGAGTCGCGACCAGCAGCTTCACGTTGAAATCGTAGCTGCTGGTGAACAGCTGGCAGATACCTTCGATGCCCAGCGGTCCAGCCGGGGTGGCTACCTCCGCCACCACATGCCTGTTTCTCTCGGACAGTCCGAAGCGAGCTCGGACGAACGAGTATTTCTCGAACGGCGTCGTCACGTTTAATTGAACCTGTGACGGATGAATTTAAATTTTCTATTGAAAGATGAAAGGGGGAAAAAAAACCACTTACCATGGATTCCTTCAATCTGGCTAAATCGCCGACCAAATGTCCGGTATACTTCCTCTTATCCAACTCGAGATTAGCCGCTCCGTAGAAGCGCCAGTTGGGCCTCGAGCTCAGATGACACTTCAACTCTCCCTTCTTGTAATTCACCACGGGCGACGTCAGCTGCAGATTTCCCGTCACGTTGAACGAATCGTCGCTTCCGTGACTGTCGATCAGCCAAACGCTCCTCGCGTCGATCACCTTGTCCGGATGATACTTGATCAGCAGTCTCGAATCGGCGCTACGACCGTGCACGTGGACGTGCGTCAGATTCACCGTGACGCACTGGATGGCGTGGACGGTACTCAATAGTCCCGCATTAGCGCTATATTCCGAAGTTAGATTGTCCTTGGCTCTGCGGGCTTGGCCGGTCACGTCGAATATCACGTGCTGCGAGTCCTGCCAGTAGATGCTGCCGCTTGCCTCGAGGTCTTGCTCGGTCTGCAGATACTTGCCGTTCAGCGAGGTCTTCTTCCAGTTCTCGAACGGCGTCAAAAGCTGAGACTCGAGTTTGAGGATCTTGTTGGAGTCGCGATTGTCCAAGTCCGTGTCGAGGCTGAATCGTATCGCTCGATCGACGTTCCACTCGAGGATCGTGTCGAGGACGTAATTGTTTCTAGGCCGCTGGGCCAATAAACACGAGCCAACCAGACTACGTCCTGGATAGGAGATCCGCATGACGGCGCTCAAGTTACGGCCCCGATCCAAGCTCGAGAACCGGCTCAAATGGAAATTAGTCAAGAACTTGAGGTTGGGATCTCGAGCCGCGTCCCACTTGATCTCGAGACCGGCCTCCTTCCTCGACTCTTCGTTAATACCCACCGCGGTGAGATGTACGTCTCTCCACTTGTGCAGGTGCAGCTTGACATTGGCCTCGCGCTGAGTATCCACCTCCGCCGACATCGAGTACGTGCTGTTCTTGTAGCGAGCCTCGAGGAACGTGCGGAAGTGTCGGGCGGTCAGGCTCGTGTGATTCAGCGCCAGGGCGTACCTGTCCATGTCGATCTGCTCGACGTCCAGGCCCAGTCTCAGATCCGCCACGTCGCGGTACAGCTGACAGGTGACGAGCACGTCCTTGGCGAAGCTCGGCGATCTCAGCAGCATCTTGAGATCGTGATTCGTCACCGAGGCCGTCGAGCGATCGTAATAGCTGCCCTTGGCCGAGAGATTGTGACCGCTGAACCAGGTGCCGGCGAAATCGAGCTCGTACTCGTTTCTCGCTCGCTCGTTGATCTTGGCGCTCAGCAGCATCGAGTTGAAATTGGGCACGGTGAGATTGGCGCGGCCGTCGACGACGAGCAGAGTGCCTCTGGGCATGACGATGTCCACGGCGAGGGTGATCTCCTTGTTGGGCGCGTAGCGCACCAAAAATACGGTCTTGGACTCGGGCCCGACCGAGCGATAGTCCACTCCCACCTTGATGTCGATGTCCTGAACCGGTTTTCTAATGGCCACGTGGGCACTGACGTTAGCTCCGTCCGTTTGGAAGTACGGCTTGGAGTACGCGGCGACGAACTCCGCCACGAGCTTGTGCCTGTCCGGATTGTGCAGATGCGGACTGGTATTGACCTCGAGCTGCAGCTCGACCTGACCCAGCGCGTGTTGATATCTGAGCCCGGCGACGACGTTCAGCTGGGGATAAGCCGTCGAGTGGAGCTTCATATCTGCGGACTTGTAGGTGACTTGTTTGGTGGAGCGATTGATCAGCGAGAACTCGGTCTGCAACACTTCGTCCCTTGCATTAGCGTGGAAACGATAGTCGATCTTGACGTTGCCCTGGACACTGGCGTTGGTTCTCGCCACATAGCCGAGCACTCGACTAGCCAGATTCTTGGTCTCGAAGCGCAGGTCGATGTCGCACTGCGAGCCAGAGTCGGCCTTGTCCTGACTTCTGATCGCACCCGACAGATTGACGATTCGCTCGTTGTTGATCGCCAGGTAGACCTTGGGGAAGTAAGTGTAGCCGTGTTTGGCTTTCTTGCGCGAGTAGCCCACACTGGCGCCCAAGTGTTTGGTGCCGTTGCTGTCGAGGCCGATGTCGACGAACGTCTCGTCGTTGGTACGTTTGTAAGTGCCCTGGGCTATGAGCGAATTGCCCTTGGATTTGAGCAGCAGCAAGACGTTGTTGTTGAGGGCGTCGAAGGACAACGTGGCGCTTATCTCGCGTTCAGTCTGCGAGCCCGGAGTGTCGAAAGCCACGCGAATCGTGCTCTCGTTCTGTTTGAAAGGCAGAAACAAAATTTTAAAGAAACCGCACGCTGCGATTAATGAATTATCACGAGCGACTAACACTTACTACCGTACGCTTCCACTTGTACTCGAGCAGGTAGCTGTCCGCGGTCGGGTCGGCCTTGATCAGCGACAGCTTGAAGATCGTCGGCCCGTTGAGCAGGAAGTACGAGGCGCTCTCGTCCTTGGTCACGTTCGGGAACTGATAGTCCGCGCAGAGCTTCAGACCCACCAGTTTGTCCAGCGCCGACCAGCTGCAAGTCGTGTTCTTGATAATTCTACCGGACATCGAGCTCGATTCTTTGTCCGACGTTGGTATCGGTAGACCGATCGGCTGCTCCTTGGTCTCGGCTCCGTTGCTCGTCACGAGCATGATGTCCGTCGTCAGCGAGAACACCTCCATCTTGTGGTTCGGGATCTTCCAGCTGAGTCGCGCGAGCTTGAGGCCCTTGATCTTGAGATCGGCCTCGACGGCGCCGATCGAGTAGACGCTGTTCTTCAGCTTGAGACCGGCGCTCTTGTAGAAGGCGTCCACCTTCATGCTGCCCGTGACGTCGACGCTCACGCTGCAAGCGCAATCACGAACTTCCATTGAATATCCTTCTTACACAATTTATTTTTTATAAAGTAAATGTCCCTATTTCAGCTAAACTTCAAATTAATTATTTACGTAAGATCAAAACTTGACACCAAAATTCAAATAATATATTTTTGTTAAACATAATTTTATTTTCAATTATTTTTGTGTATTATTATATCACCAATGTTAATTATTGAATGATTATACGCTCACGAGCAAACATAAGAACGGAATCTTATACGATCAGAATTTAATTTTGTTATTTAAAAATTTATTTGCTTCCAAAATATTTGAGTCATTTGACACTATTTTTAATCTGATATCTTATATATATACTTTATCTCGTATTGAGGTCATTTTCTAGCTCTATCTCAGTGCACTTAGCACACCATAGAATACTTTTTTCAATTAATTATCGATTGAAAAATATTTGCTTTTTCGACTTGAGGTACACGATGTAATTTCTACAATGATATAAATGAAATGACTTAATTATGATTCGTTCGCAGTTCTGCGTAAAGCGTATCGTCTTTAATATAAGTATATATCATATATGCCTGGCAACACACAACGAGGTCGTTGCATACCACGCGCAACGTAAACATTAGAACGAAAACAGTTCAATGCTCTTCGTCAGTTTTCTCGCGCACTTTGCTCGATCAACACAGAAAGATCAATCGTTTACGAAAGTGAGAAAGATGGAATACACTGATTTATTGAACTGTGCTGTCAGGTAATTTTGATTTTATCAGAATGAAAATTATTAAAAATATTGCAATAAAATAATTGATCTTTTTGGAATTATTTCAGAGTGAAAGAGGAGCATAGCTATGCATCGTTTTTTAAAAATGACGGTGAAATGATTGACGAAAAACTCGATCTCAAAAACGTCCAACTCTTATCATTTCCACGAGAAAATTCCGTAAGTGTTGGTAATTACTTTTACAGATGTCATAGTTATTTTGCAATGAAAATTCTCATAATACTTTGATGTTTTTTACAGGCTCATACCGATCGAAAAAGTGACATTAAACTCGAAAGTGTATCTGATGAGGAAATGAAAATAGTTTTTGAATGTCAAGACGTCAAGATCAAAATTAATTCATCGGCAGTTAAGCAAATTTACGAGGATTCTAAAAATCATTTGCAGATTAAGAAAGATAACGATGATTATAAAACTCAAAACGTGATTAAACGTGAACCCAAAGCAGAAGTGAAACAGGAATTTTTCTATGACGTTTCAGAAGAATTAAATTTGAGTTCTGACTGTGAATACAATGAGGATATGGAAATAGTTTATGGGTGTAGAGACGTCAAACCCAAAGTGGATTTGTCAGTAGTTAAAAAAAATGACGATGATTCTAAAAATTCCTTGTGGAATATTAAAAAAAGTGCTGGTGAAGAAATTAAAAAAATAATAAAAACTGAAACGATGAAAAAAGTGAAAGAAGAAATTCTTGGCGACTATGCAGAAGAATGGGAATTGAATTTAGACAGTGAAAACGATAGCGATATGGAAATAGTTTTTCAATGCGAAGACGTGAAACTCAAAGTGGAATTGCCATCACTTAAAAAAATTGACAATCGTTCAAAAGATCACTTGCGAAATTTTAAAGTTAGCGACAGTTCCAAAACTCAAGACATAATCGAAACCACAGCGAGAGTGAAACAGGAATTTGTTGGTGACGTTAAAAAATCGAATATCGATAAAAAGAATAAAAGTAGAAGAATCACGAAAAAGTTTAACAACACACAATGTGAAATATGCGGAAGAAACTTTTCAAGAAAGAGTAATCTAAATAAGCATGTCAAAATAGTACATCATTCTCTTGTCTACTCGTGTGGTTTGTGCACCAAGACATTTTCACTGAAAAATAATCTTGAAGCCCACATCTTAAGGGCGCATAATTATACACACAAAAAATCAAGCATACGTGCGACGTATGCGGAAAGAAATTCTCGACGAAGACCAATCTCAAAACTCACATGGATTCGATTCACGTCGGTATCAAATACAGATGTACCGTTTGCGGAAAGATATGCATCAAAAAAGTCCAGCTTCAAATGCATATGGATTCGGTGCACAACGGTATAAAATACGCATGCGATACATGCGGAAAGACGTTCCAGTACAGAGGCGGTCTTGAAGAACACATCGATGCAAAGCATAAAGATTTCAGCTACCCGTGCGACATTTGCGGGAAAACGTTCGCGCGAAAGCATTATCTGAAAATTCACGTCGATACGGTGCACAAAGGCGTCAGCCACGCATGCGACATCTGCGGAAAGTCGTTCGCGCAAAAGGGCAACCTTAAAATGCACATCGAGACGAGGCACGGCAACGTCAGCCACGCGTGCGAAGTTTGCGGGAAAAAATTCTCGACGAGAACCAGTCCGAAGATTCACGCTGACGCGGCGCACAACGGCGTCAGTTACGCGTGCCATATCTGCCGAAAGACGTACGCGCAAAAGTCCAATCTTCGAGCTCACATCGACGAGGTGCACAGGTCCGGCGTCGCGCCCACGTGCGGCAAGACGTTCGTGCAGAAGGCTCACGTCGCCAGGCACGTGCGATCGTTGCACCAGAATATCAAACACGCGTGCCACATTTGCGGCAAGAAATTTGCGCAATCGGCTACTCTGAGGAATCACGTCGAGCACGTGTGCGACATGTGCGGAAAGAAATTTTCGGCCAAGGGCAGTCTCAAGGTTCACATCGATAAAGTTCACGTGGACGGCGCCAAGTTCACGTGCGACGAGTGCGAAAAGTCGTTCAGAACGAAGTCTTATCTGAAAACCCACATCGAGGTGGCGCATATCGGTGTCAAATATCCCTGCGACCTGTGCAAAAAGATATTCACGAGTAAAAGGTCACTGAAGATCCACATCGATGCCGCCCACAATGGTGTAAAAAAATCCATGCGACACACGCGGAAAGGTATTTTTCTACAGATGTACTCTGCTGGCCCACGCGAAGTACAGGCACAGCGGAGTCACGCAAACGTGCGACATTTGCCGAAAGAAATTCTCGACCAAGAATACTCTGAGAAATCACGTCAATACGATTCACAGCAAAATCAAACACCCGTGCAACGTGTGCGGCAACAAGTTCTCGGACAAGAATAATCTCCGAGTTCACGTGCACTCGGTGCACAGCGGTTACAGGTGCACCTGCGACATATGCCAGCGGACCTTCACGCAGAAGAGAAGTCTCAAGAACCACATGGGCGTGGTGCACGGTAATACGCACGCGCTGCATCCGTGCCGTGCGTGCGGAAAGACGTTCCTCTACACGAGCAGTCTGGGACACCACAGGAACAGCAGACACAAGGGTGTCTGGCACAAGTGCGATATTTGCAAAAAGCAATATCGAAGGAAGGATTATCTGCGAAACCACATCGATGGCTGGCACAACGGCGTCAGGTACGAGTGTAATATTTGCGGAAAGAAGATCCCGGATAGGAATAATCTCAGATATCACATGAATCGTATGCATAGGTAGGCGTTGTAAGCACATTGGCGTCGAACGAGTGATTGATAAATGCTAAAAGTAATTTATAGAGATGGGTAGTTTTAAGTTCTACATCTATCTCGCGCTTGAGACGTTTATGGAAAATTTTCAGATGAAACGATGATGCAGCGCATCACTCAACAAATGTGTAACATTTAATGTACTTTTTCAAAAGATTAATTTGAAAATTTGTAATAATATCATTATGTAAAAACAATGTTTAGATTTTAAGAAAACCAATAAATCGTTGAATAAAAATGAATCACATTCTTAATTGCAAGTTAATACCAACCTCGGCATGATGTTACCGTTGATCTCGAGCTCTCCATCGCTCATAAATTTCTGACTGTTCAAAATACCCGAGAGCTTGATATTACAGGCAGCGGAACCAGCTATATCGAGCCTCACCGGCAAACCCGCGGTGGTCGGCAGTACGTAAGACGAGTCCAGGAACATGGCGTAATTCTCGTAGTGAACTATCTCCTTGCCCGACAATATCTGCTTGATCTTTTCCCAAGGATTGAGACTCGCCAGGGTCGTGCGTATCTCCTCGTCGGTCTCGAGCATGACGAACTTGAGCTCGTTGCCGAAGATCTTGTAGCTGAGGCTGACGCGCGGCTGATCGAAGTCGTTGTCGATCACGTTCGGCAGAGCCTTGACCTTCTTCCAGTACTCGCGGCCGTCGTCCTCGGGCTTGGCGTCGCGGAACTGACGCACGAACTGCCTGAAGTGATCGGCCACCTTGACGCCGCTGAACGGACCCTTGGGCCCGAAGAGGCTCTCCGCGTAGAATTCCAGGCCCTCGGCGCGCATGCCGACCTCGAACAGATTCACGGACTCGCCGAAGAGGTCCACGGTGAGATTGAAGTTGACGGTGCGCGGCACGTAGGACTTGGGCGAGAACACGAGGTTGGTCTGCTGATTGGCGCCGAAGTTGTACTCCTCGGAGAAGAAAGAGGACTCGTAGCTGCGCGAGAACTTGCGCAGGTCGCTGTTGAACTTGTTGCCGAGGTCGCGATCCGTGAGCAGACTCTGGATCTCGATGCGGCTGGGCGACGAGGAGGTCAGCTGGTTTTTCAGGTGGCTCCAGACGAACGAGCCCACTGCGTATGGATGCAAATTTTCAGTCGGTTTAATTAGCTCGATTATCTATAAAATATCAAGCCCTACCTTGATTGACTTCCTCCTCTTCCAACGTGTGTCGTATGATCTTGATGACGTTGTAGTCGGGACAGCGCATCACCTGCAGATACGACGCGATACGCAGCTCCGCGTCGACGGTGAAGTTTCGATAGTTCGCCAGGAAGAACTGATCCCTCGACTTTTCGCACGAGGGCAGACGACGATGAGCCTCCACGGCGGCGATCTTCACCTCCATCGGTATGAAGCCGCTCTCGTCGCTGATACACTGGCGCAGCTTGCGCGACAGCGTCTCCGTCTCGACGCCGGCGTTGCCGATGGCCTTCAGAGCTTCCAACGTCTGGCCGGGTAGATAAATTGTATAATTTTTTGTATTTTAATTAAAGCCTTTTTAATTTCAAAGTCTCTAATTCATGAATTTTTCTAATTTATTAAAAAAAATCTCTGTAACTCGTAATTTTATTTATAAATAAATTTTTACATCGGAAAATTATTATGCTGCAGTTTTAAATAGACCACAGTTGATTGTTAATTTTCATCAATGTATCTTTTAGAATTTTCAAGAGCATAAGTTCAAAATCAGGACATATTATAATCTCTTACTATCCTCCGGTCTAAAAGAGATTTGCTTCGTAAACGCAGATTTCAACCAATACGAAGATACTAATTAAAACCCTCAGCACCAGATGGCGTGCACCGTAATTCGTGAATCCGCAAGTGGCAAAGTAAAAATAAATATATAAGAGTACGGTTTCATATAGAGAATAACAGCATTATTACTATATAATATTTACTATATAAAACGTAAACCTGTCGAATTTATACATTTCACGTATGTAATTAGGCGCATTGGCTGAACGCTCGATCAGCTCACCTGCTTGACGTCGGCTCTCGCGTAGGCTCGCGGTCTGCATCCCTTCTCGACGTTGTCCTCCACGAACCTCATGAACTTCTTGACCGGCTCGAAATCGAGACACTCCCGGGGCTCGTGATTCGAGCAGTAAGAGTGTATGACCGCCGAGTAGCTGAGCACGAACTGCACCTGCGGTATCTTGGCCCGATGCTCCAGCAGCGGCGCCAGCGCCAGAATCGTCTGGCGATCCGGCCTCGGTATCAGGGTGATGGCCGTGATCCAGTAGTCGATCTTGTCCTTGCTCACCTGCTTCTTCACGATGAGGTCCTTCATGAGGGCCACGGCGGCGTTGCTGCCGATGAACGGCAGGGCGTTGACGATGTGCTTCTTGCCCGTCTTGCAGATGCCCGACGAGCGCTGATAGAGCTGCGACAGGCCCTGATAGTCGAGCATACGGGCCGAGTGGACGAAACGCGTGAACGTCTCGGAGAAGCGATCGCGCAGCTCTTGGGGCGTGCCCAGCACGCACATGGTCTTGAGGAGGTCGCGAGATGCTCGCAGTTCGCCGTAGATGGTGCGGCTCGAGCGGCCGTGATCGTAGAGGAGACTCGTGCGGCGGCCGATGATCGCTGGGGCTGTGCCGCTGCTACCGGAGCCGGAAGCGGACGACCTGTTGCTGGGCTCGTCGGACGGCGCGAGTTGGCCGTCTTGGTCGTTGTCGTCGATCGGAGCCAGGCCGGCGAAAGGATCGCTCGCTGTCTCGGCGACGAGGTCCAGCGTGGCGAGTACCTCGGTACGAGCTCCAGCCGTGCCATCTCCGTTGGCCAGAGGCCTCAACCGATGCCGATCCACGCAGCTCACCCGCTGGTAGACGTTGTGATCGATGGTGATGTCGCACTCGCTGCTCGAGGCCACCAACGGCTGACGCAGCGCGTGAACCCGAGCCAGCGGGCTGCGATAGGCGTGCGACTGCACCAGCGACAGGTGCTTGCCGGCCTGTCGACAAGTGGCCAGACTCTTACTTTTACGTAAGACCAAGCTGGTGCGTCGCGCCTCGTGCAGTCTGTAGCTGGTCTCGCAGACGCCGTGCACGTCCAGCTCCTCGTGTCGCCTGTCCACGTCGAAGCGCAGCATCGTGTTCTGCAGCATCGACAGCACGCCCCGGCGCACGTTGAGCGCCCAGGGCTCGTCGCGCGGCTCGGGACACAGCTCGCGCACCAGGCCGTCGTGGAAGGCGAATCGGAGCGCGTGACGCTCCAGGCCGGCCTTGAACTCGGCCCCGGCTCGGTCCGGGAAGTCCGGCTGATAGAGGCGACGATCGTGACTGATGCTGACGTTGGCGAAGCGTAGCTGGCCGTCGCAGGGCGTGAGGAAGCGCAGCGTCACGTCCGCGTCGATGTACATGCGCGACTCGTTCTTGGCGCGCACGGCCTCGCCCAGATTCGCGCCGACGTCCACTCGGTAGCGGTACTGGTAGAAGAGCTTGTCCTGGTACTTGAATTTCGGATCGTCCGCTACTGTGGGTGTAAGAAATTAACGCCTAAGATATTTCCTTGGAAAATATTTTTCAACGAATTATGACAGACACTGACCTTGACATTTTAATCGGCCGCATAGCGTTGGGTCCTTAACGATCTCTGTAAAACGAATATTTATTATTGCGTGTGAATTTATCTCGTGAAATTATAAGCGTTTAGAAGATCGACACTCGTTGCTTCAGACTTGAGATACGATAATTTTTTAATTTTATCTGCGCACTGATATACGCGAGACATGTTTTAATTTCTACGCGATATATAGTTGTATTCGATCCGAGCATTAAAATTGCAACTTTTTCCGCAATCCGAGCTAACGATTTGATGTATTAAGAGAGAATAGTCAAAATCGATCATTTTTCTAATGGAAAATTTCAATGAACTTGTTTACCAGCCACTTATAGAGAAAAAGAAAACGGATGTAATGAAAAAATTCACGGGCCGCTATCGCATCTGTCTTCGAGCGCAGATGCAACGTGCGAACAAAGTACGCGACGGCAACCGATAAACGGTCTAATAATATACAAAAATCAAATCTGAAAGATGAAAATTCGTGTGTGAAATGCCGATCGTTGTAAAAAAAATCACAGAGTTTCTGCATAAAAGAAACGCGCAGAAAAAAAATTAAAATACACCGATATTTTTTGTACTATAGGATGCGATGTGCTCACCTGCATTTGAATACGAGATCGTTAATGCCAGCAGCCCCAAAATTAGCAACGGGATCGACCCCATCGTAATTCGTAACGAGAGATCGCGCACTTTTATCACGGAACTCTCGTATCACTGAAGCAATGGAAAAACGTCGATCCACGCCAGCATTACCTCGGCTGGATCGATCGACTGAACGATTTAATATTAAAAACAACAAATCCTTTATCGCTTGATCGATTTACTACTTCGTTTTCTTAAATTTCTCTCACTTAAATTTCCAAGTTCTGTGTTTCGGGCTCTTGGTGCATCGAGGCCTCGGAAGCGACTGGTTTTTCTCCCAGCTCCGCCAATTAGTTGGCTCTATGCCGTCGCCACTGCTTGCCTTACGCGCGACGCAGCATCCGGAGATGTTCGAGGAAAGAAAGAAGCGAGCGAGAGAGAGATGGTAAAGAGAGTCGTGCCTCGTGCCTCTATGATATACCACATGCAGATGCCCGAAGACGACGACGACGACGATGATTCGATTCTCTCGCGCAGCCGCCCCGCCAAGGGGTCGGGAAAGGTCTCCGCAACTCCGTCAAAATGAGATTAGATAAAAGAGCAGCAATAGCAGCGGCAATAGCAGCTTTGGCAAAGGCCAGCACGTTTTTTACATTAATACTACATAGCGCTGATTCGTCGTATGTGTGATTTTGCCTTCTTGTACGACGAATCGTAATCTAAAAACTCCATTCAAGCCGGAGTACGTATACGTATTTTTCAACGCGCAAGTATACGCCAATGATCCGCTCGCGAGCCTGTACTCTTTCATCGACGTATATAAGTATATCGTAGGATATATAGGGCACAAAGAAGTGGGTATACCGGTGGCACATATGTCGAGCGGCGTATCTTTAAATATAAACACGTGTTAACCGTCTGTCATCGACATGGGTCTATGAGCTGGCGCAGACTGTACATGGATTTTCCCAAAGTACACGAAAAAAAATATTATTCCGCTTCGCGATTCCGCGCTTATCCGTATTTATATTTTTTTTGTACATATTTTTCTCGATTCGTTGCTCGTGAAAAAGTATGAATGAAATTAGACCGGAGCTTTTCCCGCATTGACTGTGAATGATTCAAGAGAGATTCGCGATTTATTTTTTCGCGAGTATCTTACGGTCTCGTGTGTGTGTGTGTGTGTGTGTGTGCATACGTGCCACCGCCGTCTGCTCGATTAGTTTTCGCGTACATACTAGTATCAACAAGCAAGATGACCCCTATCTCGCTTCAATGAATACAGCGGCCCGACTTCTTTACGATGAAAATATCGTCGCGCGCGTATAATAGCGGCGAGATAAATTTTTTTCGCGATTGTAATGTGGCGATCTTTTTTTCTTTCGACAGCGAAATTATAACATGAAACTCCGAGTTTGAGCGAAATGATTGAATCGAGCTTCGAGAGTAGAGCGTATGTGTGTATCTTCATTCCTCGAATAATATGATTGAATAGTATCAGAGATGAATTAGAAAAAGTGTCGTTCCTAGGCAAATTTTCGTCAATTCGAAGAGTTTTAAAATAAGATTTTGGATTGATAGAAGTACTCATAAAAGGATAACAATTATATAAGAAAACATCTTTAGGTTTTAATGCATTTGTCTTGGAAGAAATAATCGGTCCATCAGCAAAGTTATCGAAATATTTAGCACTAGCGCGCGATCGATCAACTCGAAGGGCACTTGTCGCATGCATAATCTTTGTGACCATCGTGAACTGTCTTTTGATGCTTAAACAAATTCGATTTATGTCTAAATTTCTTGTCACACTTGTCGCATGCAAAATCTTTGCGACCTTCGTGTACCGTCCTTTGGTGTCGAAACAAATCTGCTCTAATTCCAAATTTCCTCTCACACTTGTCGCATGCGAAATCTCTAGCACCATCGTGTACTGTCTTTTGGTGCAACAGCAAAGTCCATTTGCGTCCAAATTTCTTATCGCACTTGTCGCATGTGTAATCTTTGCGACCTTCATGAGTTGTCTTTTGGTGAGAGAGCAACAGCCGTTTATGTCCAAATTTCTTCTCGCAACTGTTGCATTGAAAATCTTTGCGACCCTCATGGACTGTCCTTTGATGTAAAAGTAAATCGATTTTTGTCCAAATTTCTTCTCGCATTTGTCGCATACAAAAGCAGCACGAGTTTAAAAAATACTACGAATTTAAAAAATTACTATTACGAATATTTTTTCATTTTTTGGATTTAAAAACAAGTTCGATTATGTGTACAAATATTGGACATATTTTACTTGTGTACAGAAATGCCCGTGTACAAGTTTCATGTGTACGAATGATACCTTGCCCACAAGACTGAGACTCATGATTTTCGATCATAGTGACACGATTAGAAAGCGCATCCTGTCATCTACCATGTGTTTTTAATCGGTCTCATATGGATAGATGCGTGTGGCCGCCACCAGTGCATCGTAATACCTCGTGGCGTACGTGAACATACAACTACGTCGCATCGAGTGATTTTCGTGAAAAAAGTTATAATAATATCTTAAATTGTTAATAGTTTCTGTGAGTGCTTAGAACGATGTCGACGTCCGCCAAATTCGAGCAATTTAAGAGCTTGCTGGAGAATATCAATTTGGATATCGAAGATAATGTACTTGAATCGATCCGTACGATTGGACCTTTGGTAGAAGACTGGGGCGTTCAACTTCCCAACCTTCGAGAAACATGCCGATCCGATGAAATCGATCGGCTCATCACGGCTGCCGCAATGTACATGAATACGATAAATTATCAAACTGGAAGACAAATAATCGACTTTGTGGTTCGCACCGGCTACGGAGATGATTCTCATCGGCCGCTGCTTGGCTCTACACCCCTTCATCGTGCATTTCGCTGTAACTACTATAACGCGTATTCCGTAGGCCACAAACTTTTCACGATCTACAATAGGTACGATGTGAATTATACGGACGAGTTTGGCCTCGGTCATTTCCATGTGGCCTGCGCCTTCGGCTACGAAGACGTCGTCGTGAAATTCCTCGAGCTCGGCCGGATCGTTCCGGATCGACTCGTGACGAAGGCGGGGGCGAGTCGCCGCTCCACATGGCCTTGCTGTACAACCGCAAAAACGTAGTCGGTGCGCCGTTGAGAGCTAGCGCCGATCCCAATTTTATTTCGAACGACGAAGAGCGAACCTTATTGCACGTCATAGGTGAGCAGTATTACTATCACGGATCTCGGACTGCGACGATAATCGATCTCGGCGAGAAACTCGAGCGGCCCGTGCTCGTCGATGCTCGAGACAAGTGCGCGGGTAACACACCGCTGCACTTGGTCATCGCGAGATGCGCCAAGACGGGAACTACGAAGGAGACGGCGGCCGAGGCTCTACTGGACAAAGCTGCGCTAATCCAAATTTAGCCAACAGCCAAGGATGGACTACTTTGCACTTCGTTTGCAATCTTGGACGGCGCTCCGTGGATTTGGCGAGGCTGTCGATGGAGAAAAGCGCATCCGAGCATCTGCCGTTGAGGATCGACGCTCTGAACAAGGAGGGTAACACGCCATTGCACTTGGCTCTGGAATCGAAGCGCATTTCCTTGGCCAAGTTTCTGCTCGAGAAAGGAGCCAATACGAATCTGACCAACTTGAAAAATGAGAGCGCGCTGCATTTGATTAGCCGGCGACGCGTCAACGATCGAGCGCTGCAGACTTTGTTCGATCGTAACGAGGAATTGCCCAGGACGAGCTGGGCAACACACCGTTGCATCTTGCTCCGATGCGTTACGGTAACAAGAAAGCGGCCGAGTATCTGCTGAGCAGAGGCCCTGATCTGACTCTGGCCAATGCAGAGGGTCTAACGCCACTTCGTATTTGTCTCAGAGACGAGCACGAGGCCTCGGCCAAGTTATTCGGCCAGATGGTCGACCGACTGGACTTATCGGGACGAGCGCAGTTTCGACGTGCTCTGGCGTGCCTTTTGGCGCCGGTCGAACTGGTTGTACTCAAACAAGAAATAACATGTCGTTGATCTCTGAATTCAGACTAGTGGTCGGTGTCTTGATCTTGGTCCTAAGTTACGAGGAGAGAGAAGCGAGAGAGGGAGAGAGAAAACACGAACTGGACCCGAGTGACGCTGCGATCATCATAAGGTTGTTCGACAAGTACAAATTGTTCCAAAAGCCAGCGAAACAAGCAGAAGAACGTTGGTACGACGACGAGGAGTTCGCGAGCAAAGCGAAAAGTATAACGATCGTTCCCGACTTGTCGCTCAACGATTTGCTACGGATGCGACCGGAAGGGCAGATGAGACGCATCACCTACAGAGATTATCGCGCACTCGAAGAAGATGAACGAGTTGTGGGCAAAGCATCGCGATCGTGGCATTTTGCAACTGTGCGAGACGATGGCGAGAGGACTTTTCCGGCGATTCGCGTTCTATCATTTCTGCGAGTTGATTCACAAACGACTGCCTCTTCTTGAAGCTTGTGAGATGATTATTGAGGATCTGAATAATCAAGATTTGTACAATATTTGTCTGGCGGCTACCGACCAAAGTTCCTTTAAAGAGGATGAAGCTGATTTAAAAACTAATGTCAAAAGAAAAGGTAGCAACAAAAAGCCTCCGAGGGCCAAAAAAGCTAAAAACTGATGTATATTGATAAAACTTTGTGTTCTCGTAGTGAAATTATAATAAAAAAAATCATTAAATACCAAAGTTTTCGTTGATGTATTTCTCTTTTTCTTTTTATCACTAACTATTCAGTCAATCACGTTACCCATTAATTTTAAAAATGTCAAAATTTTTATTCATCACCACTACAGCGCATTATCATGGCCCTTTATTGGACGCGAATTAGAACTATTAGAAGTGACGTAAAATTTACAAAAAATTAAAATTGAGGCTAAATATCTATAAAACTTGAAATTTTAAAATATTTAGTTACTTTTAATTTGAAATAAAAAAGAAATTTATATTGTCGGTCAATAATCATGTTTGTAACAAAAAAAACCCTTGAAAGTTTAATTTCAACATAGATGTAAAAAAATGTTGTTGGTTTTCTTCCCATGGACCAATAATAGAATATGTTCTTTGAAAAATTATTATAACAACCTTTACTATTATATAACATAGTCAGGACTCAATTTGGTCTCATTGGAAGAATCAAACATAGCTTCCCATGTTTTTTTGCCCTTTAATTTGTGAAGATTTCTGTTTTGTAGCTTGTATCGATAGAAGATCAGTTTGTTCGCGTCCTATTTAATAGTTACTATTGCTGATGATAAATTTCTTAGCAAGTTATACAAATTATAATCTGATAAGATATATTTCGTCATTTATTACTCTATAAAAAATCCAAATAAACGGACTGTTGCACAATCTTAATCTTAATTTTCAATCTTAAATTAATCTTAAGTCTTAATTTCGTAAAAAGGCATCATTGGAACAGATGGCAAATATAATTTTTCATATGCTCCTAAGAAAGATTTATATAAATGTTCTGATCTAAAATTTGTTGTTATTAAAATTATTTGAACGATTGACCTCCGGTATACAATCGCATTTGCCATTAGCCAGAAGTTACAATATAGCTAAAGTTGAATCGACAATTTCCGTGCATATATAATTATAATAAATAAGAATATATTCACGTTCATATGGAACGTAACGTCATGAACGTTAAAAAAGTTTACGTTACTGCAGCGATGCTCTCGCGACCTGTCTCAAATAAGCTCACGGGAGGTACTGTGCAAAGGCCGGAGGTAGCAAATAAATGAGTTCGATTGTATATGAGCTCTGCTTTATACACTTATGCAGGCGATCGCGCCCGAATGACTGAGTAAATTTATAGGCGGTATCATGAATTTATTAAACTCTGTGAGCTACTCCGCAACTCAACTCTGGCGGCGAGGCAGTGTCAGTTTATTTGTCGCATCGCGTGCATTCACTCCAACTCGCAAAACGTGAGTATTATATCGATGGCTGTGTGTAGCATTAAGTTAATGTAATAATATTAAATAAGATTTTATGCTGGGAAAATTTCTTTTAAGCTGTTTACGCGTGTATTAGGCTGTTTACGAGGATTGTTTATCGAAGTTTATCACTATAATGGAAATTAACTATGAATGTTCATAAAATTCGTTATTGCACTAAACAACAAAAAAAGTATGTATTTTAGCGATTTTTACCGAAACGGGTGTACCCGGGTTAGAAATTATTCATCATTACGATTATTCGATTTTTGTTCACAACTCGCTATAAAACGATCACTTTGCTCTACATCGGCTCGAGATAATTATATGCACGACGACAACGACGACAACAACAACAACATCAGCGTAATACTTTCCAGCAGCACGTGTAATGTCATTGGGATTCTATTTCACGCCTACAGCTGCTTTTACAGTGAACCGCCGTTGGAGCGTTGGTTTTAAGTCTCTCGTGCAGTCGTGCGCGTGCACGCGCGTCACGCACCCAGCAGCGACTTCACCGCGACTGTACTTTTTCGAGTGCAATTAGAAATCTTCGTTCGAACCACGTACTCTATGCCGCCGCTACGAGAAAGTATAATCTACGCGCATTATATTCTCGAACGTTAGTGCGTGTCTCGACACCAAACCGCCAACGTAACGTGTAAAATAACGACGATTCTCGACTCGATTGCGTTGCGTTACGTTGCGCCAAGTGTATCACACGTCGTTATATATATATAACAAAAAACGACGCTCTTTTTCCGGTCATGCTGAAATTCGTTCCAATCGGTGCATCGATACAAATGACGCGCGAGTGTTGTTGATTGCATTACCATTATTAAAAGTGCATAAGTGATACACACACAGTTACTCGTAACACTATACTACACGCACACATGCAACGAGAAAGTAGAAACATGACTCAGAAGTGCTGCGTGAAAGATTGCGAGGAGCTCGTGAAAGAGACTCGCGCTCGCTGCCTGCCGCTACACAAATTTCCGAAAGATCCGGCGCAGCGTACCTCGTGGCTCGCAACCGACGGTTTCCCCGACGACTTTCGCCCCACCCCCAGCCAGATCGTCTGCTACAAGCATTTTCGACAGTCCGACTACGAAGTGAGCCGGGGCACGCATCACAAGCTCTTCCTCAAGAAGGGCTCGGTGCCGAGCGTATTCGACGATTACGACAATCATCCGGATCCAATTCGCAGCGATCTGATAGCAACGAGGCTGCAGGCGCGCGAGCTCAAGAATAGTCAGCAGCAGCAAGTGACAGCGCCAACGGGCAGTCAGTCAGCGGCCGCGGCCGGTAATAATAGTAGTCAGCTACTAGACGACTCGCTGAACGACACCGCGGCGAGCATTACGAGCTACGACGGTTCAGCGGACGACTCGACGAGCCAGAATTTAGGTTCGTCGTCGATAGAGTCGACCGGGGTTAGTCAGGACGCGGACTCGATTTCCACGCAGAGTACTTCGCTGCAGCCTGCTGCTACAGAAAGTAGTCAATCTGTAGGTAGTCCAATGCCAGTCGCTCAGACCATCGGCATCGACGAAACAGAGCCCAAACAGACTGTTGACAGTTCCAAAGCCAAAATCATCAACAGGTCCGACATTGTATTTTCGCCTGGTTTCAAGTTGGAAGCCAAGGATTTCAATGATGTTTGGTATAGTGCTAGAGTAGTCGAGGTAGATCATCAAGAGAAGGATGTTTTGATTCATTTTGACAAGTGGTCAACTCGATACGATGAATGGATACCCATGGATAGTTCTCGACTGAGAATGATGACACAATCTCCCAAGGAGCAGAACAAAACCTTCGAGGTAGGAGAAAATGTTATGGCTACTTGGGTGGATGGTGTGAAGTACCCTGCCCAAATCAAGACATGTCTTGGCAACGACAAATACAATGTTCTCTTTTACGATGGTTTTACTAAAGCTTTGAAAGCTTCCAAAATTACCAAACTTCCACAAGAGACACCAGCAGTTCAACCATTCAAAACAGAAAACACTTATGTTGGAAGTAAACAAGAGCGCCGCGATAGAAAACGAAAACATACCATAACCGAGTTATTTAGTCATAAGAAAAAATCAAAACTGGACAATGAAAAAGTTGCCAAAAAAGAGGTACAAGAACCAGAGACCAGCAGCCAAAAAATAGTACAAAAGGCAGATGTTATTCAAACGCAAGAGCCAGCAAAACTAGACGTAACGACTGAGGTTCAAACTCCTATGGAAATACCAGGTACATTTTTATTTAATTTTTATTCAATTATACATTTTTAATTAAATATCATTGTTTTAATAATCAACTTTAAAATTTCAGTTAATCCAATTGGAAGCGATCCAAATGATTCTAGTATATTAATTGGAAGTTTGAGAGTTGAAACAGAGGATAGTGCTTTAAAATGTCCAAAGGAAGGTTGTAGAAAATTAGTGAGAAAGGAACACTTACTCATCATGCACATAAAACATTATCATCCAGAATTTGTTCAATATTTGGGAGTTACACCTAATGTTGCTGACCTAGCTTATGCTCGAACTGTTGGAGAGCCCGTTGAAGATGTAGTTCCAAAAAAATCTAGAATTTCAACTTCAACGCCAAATTACACTAGCTCGCGTACTTCTTCAAGCTGTGTCGAAAAAGAAATTCCTAAAGCAGAATCTGAAATTCAGGCTGAAATTAAAATAGAAGCAGAAAGAAGTAATAGTATACATGAAGATAGTTTATCAGAAAGAAGTACTGTCAACAGTTGTACCATGTCTCCTGGAACTTTATTTGATATGAGAAAGAAAGATGAAAGAACCCATACTGGTATAAAAACTTTATTGCCAGTGAGGCATCCTTCATCTTTTGTTTTCGATGAACCAGAAAATTCTGGTCCACAAAATGCAGAACTAGAGATTTGCAAGCCAAGCAGTTCAAGAGGAATGAAGAAAAAACTTACCAGTGAATCAAGTATACCACCAAAATCCAAAAAACAAAGACAATTTTCGGAAAACAGCGACAGTTTTCTTCAATTGGACGATAGTGTCTTTGATCAAGACGATACTTTACATCCCAGTGATAATTCAAGCCTTTTAAATAGTACAAAATTAACAAATGATATTCCCAGTGATATAATTCCACCTGCAGTAGGTGATACAATATTAGTAAATGGCGAGCTTATCAAAGTCGAAAAATTACGCAAAGAAGAAATAATTAATTGCACTTGCGGCTCGATGGAGGAGGATGGATTGATGATTCAGTGCGATCTGTGCCAATGCTGGCAACACAGCGTCTGTAATGCGATAGAACGAGAGCAAGATGTACCCGATAAATACATATGTTACATTTGTCGCAATCCGCAAAAACAAAGAACATCCAAAAAATACTTCCATGATCAAGACTGGATACGCGAAGGAATACTACCAAAGTTAAACACAATCCAGGTTGATCCTGTAAAATACAGAGAAAGATCTGCCATGCTGAAGCGTGCATTCGACGTTATGAATATGGTTTTGCAAACCAACGACGTGCTGCACAGTTTGAGGGTGAAAATTAACATAGCGCAAAACAAGGATCACCCAAAACTGTATCTCTGGGCGAAGAGCTGGAGTAAAATCAAAATACCGTCGTATCAGAACGAACCAGTACCTTTGCTGGAAAAAATTAAGGATGAAAATGACAATAACGACGACAGCAACATCGATAACTTGCTGGATACGTCGAATATTTCTCTGTCGTTAAAAACCGAGGATGATCAAAAGTTAATGGCTTCGGATTCGGATACGTTGGAATTGATGAAAATCCTTGAAGACCCCGGGGACGACACGAAGAACGGCTCCCTCGTCAAAGACGAGAACAAAATTTTACTGGACGTGTTGACTCGCGACGGTCTCGAGGCCGACCAGATGCTGGAAAACCATCACGATCTTCTCTCCTCCGATCCGACGAAAAAAACCATGGATCTCGGCCCGAACGACAAGTCGCCGATGATCTCGGCTCAGCCTGCCGCCAGTCAGTCGATCGCCGAGCCACCGAAACCCTTCATACCCGAGCCCGAGGCGGCCATCGATCCGCTCGAGTGCAAATCGCGCCTGCTGGAGCACATCGAGAATCTACAGAAGTGGGTGGACTCGACCTTGAACTTCATCGAGGTACAGATAGAGGCTCTGGAGGAAAAATTCGAGTGGGCACCGGACACGAACGATCGCGACATGCACACGAGCCAGACCTTGCTCATGGTCCTGAATGATCTGAAAGCCATACGAAAGTTAGCTGCCTTAAGTTAGGATGTATATTTTTGGAATTAGACTGTAAAAAAAATAAGGGGTTCTGTACAGTTTAATAATAAGAATAAAAAGATGCGTGAATTTTTTATAAGAAAAATAATTGTTATCAATCACATCCCGATTCCACTCAATGAATTCATACGCTAAAATCTCTACAATCAAACCAATCTCTGTTTTTTAAGTACAAAATTCATAATCAATCATGGTCAGCTGTCGGGTCTTGATGAGCCGAGCGTTGCAGATCAACCGATCCACCATCGGTCGTCGAAGTCTCCATATCACCGCCACGCACCATCAATCCGCCCCAGGCCCGCTGACGAGGCTCACCGAGGACGAGCGCCTACTTCAGGAGTCGGTTCGTCGCCTTGCCCAGGATAAATTACTGCCGCGCGTGCGAGCGATGGAGCAGCAGGGCCGCATGGATCAGGACGTGCTCGATCAGCTGTTCCAGGCCGGGCTAATGGGCGCCGAGCTGGAGCCCGAGATCGGTGGCAGTGGCTGCGGTTTTTTGGGCTTGATGCTGGCCGTCGAGGAGTTGGCTCGAGTCGACGCTTCGCTGGCGGTACTCGTCGATATTCAAAATACCCTGGTGGTTGCGATAATCCGCCGCTTTGGCACCGAGGAGCAGCGTCGACGATATCTACCCCTTCTAGCCCAGAGCTGGGTCGGCAGCTTCTGCCTGAGCGAGGCCGGCTCCGGTTCCGACGCCTTCGCGCTGTCCTGCAAGGCGAACAAGGACAGTCAAGGTCAGTACGTGATCGACGGCTCGAAGCTCTGGATATCGAACAGCGACGTGGCCAAAATTTTCGTGGTATTCGCCCGACTCGAGGGCACCAGTCCGGCGGACGGCCATCGGGGCGTCACAGCCTTCCTCGTGGAACGCGACACACCCGGCCTGGAGATCGCCCGGCCCGAGCGTAAACTCGGCCTCGAAGCCTCGGGAACTTGTGCCTTGCAATTCAACGGGGTGAAGGCTCAATTGCTGGGCGAAGCTGGAGTGGGTTACCGATACGCCGCTGCACTGCTGAACGAGAGCCGAGTCGGCATCGGCGCGCAAATGATCGGCCTGGCTCGGGGCTGTCTCGACGCCACTCTGCCCTACCTCATGGAACGTCGGCAATTCGGCCAGCCGATCTGGGGCTTTCAGTCGGTGCAGCACCAGGTCGCCCGCATGGCCACGGAGCTCGAGTGCTCGCGACTGCTGGTCTACAACGCGGCGCGCTGCGTCGAGGCAGGCGAGGACGTGAGGATGCCCGCGTCGATGGCAAAGCTACACTCGTCGGAGATGGCCCAGCGCGTGGCGTCGCAGTGCATCGATCTCATGGGCGGTTTGGGCTTCACCAAGGACTATCCGCAGGAGAAGTTTTACAGGGACTGCAAGGCGGGCACGATTTACGAGGGTACGAGCAATATGCAGCTCACGACCATCGCCAAATGTATCGAGAAGATTCAGGCTCAGTCGTAAATAAATAATAAACTGACTCGAATATTAAATTTGATGACTATATGAATTATTTACTTTACAAAAATAAAGACCATATATATTAATAATGAAAATCAAATTATATTTACGTATTTTGATTGAAAAATCTACCAACGAAACGATGATAATATATCCTTTTAGTCAAGCAACGGATTAGAAAAAGTCCCTTTAAATTGATAAATGATTTCCACTTTTTTTCAGGTAGAATATATTGTTGTTATCTCGTATCAAAAATAATTAGTCTGTCAGCAAATGTATCTGAAGTGTTGACAAACGCGTGTTTGATCATTTCGAGGTCGCATATATTTTGTAAGATTAATAAAAATCCAGTAGCCAACTAAATGCTTTTACCATACACAGCTCCAAACAAGACGTGAAGAAAGGCTCGGTTAATGATTGCATATAAGAACTACAGAAACCAAATGATCTAAAAATTCATTTAGATTAGTAATTAAGAGTAGGCAAAATTTAAAAACACCATGATGTCAGTGTAAAAAGGTGATGTTATAGTTGAACGCCCGAACTTGAGGTAATACACATTCGTTTCGACATAATTTTTATTGAAATTTGAGAAATATATCAGTGTCTATACTATTTACTATTGTCAATCATCATTTCTACTCGTACTTGTCTCATACCTAACCTTGTGGAACTTTATGGCCTGTCTCTTGGTGGATAAGCAAAGTATGTTTATATCCCAATTTCTTCTCACACTTGTCACATGTGAAATCTTCACGACCTTCGTGTATTGTCTTTTGGTGGGAGAGCAAAAGCCATTTTTGTGCATATTTCTTCTCGCATTTATTGCATGCAAAATCTTTCCGACCTTCATGAACGGCATTTTGATGGGAAAGTAAACTCGATTTTTGTCCAAATTTCTTCTCGCATTTGTCGCATGCGTAATCCTTGCGACTTTCGTGGACTGTCCTCTGGTGGACGAGCATATTCCGTTTAGATCCAAATTTTTTTTCGCATTTGTCACATGAAAAATCGTTGCATCCGTCATGAATTATTTTTTGATGTCTGAGCAAATGATGTTTAATTCCATATCTCTTCTCACATTTGTCACATGCAAAATCTCTACGACCTTCATGTGCTGTATTTTGGTGGGAGACCAAACGCAATTTGAGTAAAAATTTCTTCTCGCATTTGTCACATGCAAAATCTTTCTGACCTTCGCGTATTGTCTTACGGTGCACAATTAAACTCGATTTGTATCTAGATTTCAGCTCACAACTGTCACATGCATATTCTTTGCAATCTTTATGGACCGATTTTTGGTGGAGGAGCAAATTCGATTTTTTTCCGTATGTCTTCTCGCATTTGTCACATGAATAATTCTTGCCACCGTCGTGTATTGTCTTTTGATGGTAGATTAAATTCGTTTTTTGCGCAAATTTCTTTCCGCAAATGTCGCATGCGAAATCTTTCCGACCTTCGTGGACTGTTCTTTGGTGAAGAAGCAAATCTGTTTTGCGTCCAAATTTCTTCTCGCACTTGTTGCATGCGTAATCTTTGCGACCTTCATGTACCGTTTTTTGGTGGGTGAGTAAATTAAATTTATATTCGAATTTTTTTCACACTTTTTGCAGGGTACTCTTGGCGGTTTACACGGGCTGTATTTTGATGGAGAAACAAAGTCGAATTTCGATCAAATTCTCTCTTGCGCTCGTCACTTGCGAAATCTTCGCTACCTTCGTGGACCCTCGTGATGTGTAAAAGCAAACTATGTTTATTTTCAAACCTCTTCGCCCACATTTCGCATAAATAATCTTTGAAACCTTTATTAGGCAATATGGCGAAAATTCGGCCGCGAGATGACAGCAGCGTCGCAGGTCAAGTCATGCGCAGATGCATGCTTTTCGTGACCGGGCCATCTCGATAGCAGTAGATATTTTTCGGTGCGACTAATTGACAGTTCTTTCTGAATAAAAAAATAAATATGAAATAAATAATAAAAATGAACTGTAGTGTTTAAAATTAAAAGGGAAAAAAATTTTAATTCACAAAAGACCCTAAATTAAATAATAAATAAAATGCAGACTTGGCAAGCAAATCATTAGAAGTAGGAATCAGAAAAAAATTAAAAATGTACGAGCTTTTAAAGGGGGAAAGAATAATCTTCACGAAAATGTTTTTGACTGAGATTGTTTTGGATCCTTGAGCTTTCAAGAATACAAAGGTCTCAGTAAGTTAATGGGTAAACTGTTATAATACATTTTTATCGACCAACAAACTATAGACGCTATTTTGTATTCATGAAATTTTAAGGCACTATCAGAGCACGTTTCAATATCTAAAACATTTACGTGGGTGTTAAGAAAAGTTTGGTAGAAATGTTGAAAAATTTTTTTTAAAATATAGTTTTGATATCAAGTAAATTGAATATAAGACATTTAATATATTCAATTAAACATTTTTAGAGAATTTTACAAATTTAGAATTCGGCTGTATTTTATTATAAATACCATGGATCAGTTCAAAGTAAATTTAATGTAAAAGTTATGAAAAAGTTGATATTCTTGATAATTGTTTACATCATTGTAATCATGTGGCGAATTCATCCGTTACTTTGTTAAACAAGAGATAACATTACAGTCACATATGACATCGATATATTTAAGAGCTAAAGAAAAAATATTTTATCACAAATTAATAAACTGTAGAAGTTTTACATAATGCGCACGGAAAAACTAACTTTCATAAAAGTTTCAAAGTTGAACAGTATCTCTGGACCAGCTTTAAGTTCGTTTGGTTTTGAGTTTCGAAGCATAATGAACAATATCATTTTTCGAGTTTTCAATGGCATGTTGTACCATCCACAATCGTAACTATAATTAATTCAAATTTCAAATTAATTTACATCCATATTGATTTGGCTTCAATAATTTCATAGACAATTACCATTTTATAAGCATTTCTTCGATAGAATTGAGCAAGTCTTGTCCTACAAAACTCATTAAGAAAGCTCCGCACATCAGAATTATGAAAGAGAAAGAAAATTTGAGGCAAGGTTGAATATTGCGTTTTTTAGCTTCAATAATAATCTAAAACAAAGAGAATTTAAAAAGTAATTTTTTTAAACTTTTCTTTTTAAACTGACCATTGAGCCTGCTACGGCTATGTTACATAATAATAAAAGCGTAATGTAAAGGATAATATGTACTGTTATCTCCCCTAGTCTTATCATCAACCTTTAAATATGCATAATTGAATGTAGCGTGATATATTTTGTAAGAAAGAAATAAAATGTATACGTAAATTAATCAATGTGTATCATACAAATAAACCAATTCTTGATCTCTTGCTACTTTTATAGTTTCCTTGCAAACAAACGAGTTTGGTGACCTCTCCGTCTTCGTTTAACGGATTGTTTTCACACAGTGTCCATAATTTTTCAAAACGATAACTATAAAAAGTTCGCAAAATAATCTCAAATGTTTGTTTATTCATAAAATTGTCAACACCTACTTGACAGCTTTCGTTTTGGCTTTTACGTAAGCCGAACAAGTTAAGAACTCCTGCACAACTCCTATGACGCCCGTACAGATGAAAAATAAGCAGGTTAGTGTGTAGAAAAACAACAGCTCGATGTGCGTCTCTCGATTTATTCCGAAATCTCCATGAGTGGATACAGCCAGTTCGTAAGAAGTGTTGAACACCATAGATTCATTGTCATCGGGGTA